TAAAAGAGTTAATCAAAACCGTCTTGTTATATTTAAATACATAACATTTACCATATTGTCTGAAGCCACTAGTAAATATTATAAATTTTTCCTTACAAACTGGTATGGTTCCAAGCATCTGGAAAATGGCTCTCATCACCCCGCTTCCTAAGGTAAATAATCCTTCGGGCGTTAATGAATTGAAGCCAATAAGCATACTGCCTGCTGCCTCAAAAATTCTTGAAAAGGTGGTTAAATGTCAGATTGTGCAGTTTTTGTCTCTTACAAATATACTACCAAAATTTCAGTCTGGTTTCAGATCACATTATAGGGACCGGTCACAAATTTAAATCCGCGACCCCTAGTGAGAGATGTCAAAAGTTTTTGTATTAATATTTTGTCAAATTTTCACTAGAATTTCGAAAAATAGAGCTGGAAATACATTTTGGTTTCCAAAATATAAAATTTATTCACCACGAAGCTGCATACAAAAAAAGTGTGGTTCTATAGTCGAGGCTCTAGTGCAAGCTGAACATGTATTGCAAGTAGTTGAACGAAAAGTTGGAGGGGACTTATCCATCGGGCATATTATGAGCCAAACCTCCATAAACAGCTCTCCTTATGTTGTTGAGCTACAGCTGGTAGGTATAACAATAAAATGGACGCTACAAATCCTCGATTGTCTTTCTGGCTCCCACATTTTACTACTTTAAAAATTGAATCTTAAAACGATAAAGAGTAAAGTAACCAAATCAATATGAAAACTCAGTGTGTAGTTCCTATGAATAGGTGTGAAGGTTAATGTTGATAGAAGTAGGAACTTACATTTCTTCCGACAGCTTCAATCCATTTTTCACGTCTTTCCTGATCATGGGGCCGACTAGGAAAACTGTAGAAGTGAACATTTCCACTTAGTTAAGGAGACGACCGCATTTTTTCTACCCCGATCGAGTTATGTGTCGACACTATTATCAATATATAGTATTATGTGCATCTATTAACCGGTATTTCTGCCTGAGAGCAAATGCTGCCAGAAATATCTTTTAAAAAATTGAAAAAAACGTAACACTACCCCCATCGAGTTATGCCCTAAGTAGGGTATCAGATCAAAGGTCTCGATGTCCTCTATTTAAAAAGTCGATCTTGCCTCGTGAGAACTTGCTGGAAAAAGGTGGCAAGGCAGCTTATTGGGGCAAGGGCCCGCGGTCTCAGCTTTGACACTTATCAAGTTTTGCCTTGAATGATGTGTCAAATTAAAGGTGTCGAAGTTGATTTAAGGTCTCTTCGCACAGAAATCCCAAACCAGAAGGAGTGAATTTCAATGGTTGAAACTAGTTTCCCGACTGTTTCCAACCAATAAAATTCGCCGCGACTGGTTTGTGATTTCTATGGGAACAGACCTTAAATCAACTTATTGACAACTTTAATTTGACACATCATTCAGTGCAAAACTTGATAGGTGTCAAAGCTGAGACCCCGAGCCTTTGCCCCAATAAGCTGCCCTGCCACCTTTTTCCGGCAAGTTCTCACGAGGCAGGATCGACTTTTTAGATAGAGGACATCGAGACCTTTAATCTCATACCAGTGATACCCTACTTAGGGCATAACTCGATGGGGGTAGTGTTACGTTTTTTTCAATTTGTTAATAATTTGTTGGAAGATATTTCTGGCGCGGTCGTGTCACAGACTAACTTGTGTTGGCATAATTATTGCCACAGTTAACAACACAACAATTTGTGAAACTGTTCCTGGCATGACAAGTAGTGGGTATGCACAATAGCCTGAATCTCGCCTGAATTAATGATAATAAAAAGTGTTTGGCAAATAAAAATTACAAGAAAAAAAGTGTAATTAAATATAATTGTTTCATGTGAACAACTATACCTTTATAATGAAATATATTTTGCTTTGAAATCGTTTTTTATAAGAAAAATTACATTTGTGTGAATGGAATCAAGCACTTGACATAATACAAGAACTTACGTTGCTGTCGAAAGTTACAGTATTATAACATTGGGGAGCAGGACTGGCTCAGAAGTTACCTTTGTGAGAGACAACAGGCAGTTAGACTGGCTGGGGTTGAAAGAGTGATGCTGTCTGATTGGAGGGTTGTGACGAGGGGAGTACCACAGGGATCTATTCTCGGTCCACTTCTCTTCACAATCTTCGCATCAGATCTTGTAGATCGAATATCTCACTGTAAATATCACATGTAAGCAGATGACCTTCAAATTTATCTTCCAAGATCCCCGGCTGATCTTTATGACACTATTGAAATGATCAATGTAGATCTACAAAATATATCAGAATGGACTTCTGATAATTCTCTTCTCATAAATCCTAACAAAACCCAAGCTATACTGTTTTCGCGGACCGATATTGATTTATCTTCTCACCATATTACCCTTAACGGTGTTGCAATTGAATGGGCTGATGAAGTGAAGAACCTCGGACTATATATGGACAGAAAACTTTCATTTAACTATAATTAAGTAATATATGCCAAAGATCATATTACAAATTAAAACTTATCTATGAATTCAAAAACACTCTTTCACCTAATGTTAAAAAACTCTTGACTGAAAGTTTGGTGCTGTCTATTCCGGGGTATCTAGATGTGGTTTACGGGCCATTCCTTAAAAAATGCAGTTCCAGATACTTCAAGTAAGCGTGTAATAGGATGAGATATTTGGTAATTTAGGCCAGAGTTACCCAACTCCTTAATTCTTAATATTCGTCCTTAATTCTTAATTCTTAAAAAGTTCAATTTATTTAACATTGGTGTTTTTAAGGATTAAGAATTAAGAACCAAAATTAAGAATTAAGGAATTGGGTAACCCCGGCCTTAAATAGACTGATAACCGATGCAGGCAAAGCTTTTGTATCTAAAGATTTAAAAAAATATCAGTACAGAGGAAAAGGGAATAAAAGCATTTACCACTGCAGTTGGCATGGCAAGAGGTAATGGGCAGGTAGAAAGGTCAAATAAGATTGTATTAGATGCATTGGCGACTACGAGTGCTAATTTGGACACAAACTTGTGGGATTTGAAACTCAAAAATATTCAGCACGGTATCAACAGCACCAAACTTCGAATAACTGGAACAACACCAAGTGAATTATTCTTTGGATACTTGATGGAGATAAATATATAGATAATAATAATGATGTTCCTGTTGATGTAACTAATTTGAAAAAATACTTTTCCAGAAAGTTGGAAGAAAATCGTGAGAAACAGAATCGACAATTTAATAAGAAAAGAGCTCCACCTTTTGAATATGTTGTTGGTGACTTATAGCTTTGACTAAGGTCACAAATTTTCCAAGTAACAACAATGAGCTTTTGGAACTTTTGGAAAATTACAAAGGACGAATTAGGATTGAAGAGGTACTTCCAAATGATAGGTACCGGGTCAATTGAATATCCTGATTCAATTATTGCTTTGGTGACGTATCTGACGTACCATCGTCACCAAAAGTATCTGGGACAGAAATAATGCATATTAATCTCCTGGACTAATTCTACTGTCATACATTTCAATGCATTTAATTCATAGTTTGACAAACATTTGACAATAACATTCATATAATAGGAAAAGAGCTAATGTAATGCAGTCCCAGTTACTTTTGGTGACGATGGTACACTGTTTAATTGCATATCTGTTTCAATTATTGGCTTGTTGACGTATCTGGCTTACTACTGGCTATTCAATTGAATATCTGATTCAATTATTTGCTTTTACTTTGTGCCGCATATTATTTTAATTGAATTTTTGATTCAGTTTTGCTTATGGTAGCACATGTGACATGCCTAAACTATTTTAATCGAATATCTAATTCAATTATTATCTGAATATTATAGATTATTGATCACTGGTACGACCGAGGATGATCATGCTGTCAAGATGGTCGAATGCAGTCAACCTTGCCGATTACGAATAACCGTATTCTGAATATAGACTACATTCACAAATACTGACTATTTTTAATAAAATTAATTTTAACGCTTTCTGGAATTGGTTTATAGATAGGTAATATAAAGATGACAAACTGTGTAAAACATCCTCAAAAATCGATTGAATATATTTTAAATATATCGTTCCATTTGAAAATTTCACAAATAATTAGAAAAGTTTAATTGTTTTTAAATATCCACCCATAAAGTCAGTCCTACTAAACAGAATCTGAATTTTTTACAACAAAATTATTGAAGAGCAGACTTTTGTCTTTCTAACGAACCTGAGATCGATCAAATTTGTTCAATCGTTTCGAAGTTATCCGCTTTCTTGAGTTGCAATATTTGACAGCTCATAACTATCTTATCCGATAAGTTATGGTAAAAAGTCGAACCAAAATTGTGTGGAATTTTATCAAAAATCCATTGCTACCATTTTCAAGCTATGTTTCAATTTGAAATTTCAAAAATTAAGCCATTTTTGTACTCTGACTGTTGGGTTACGCCCCCTTTCGGTTATTTTAGAAAGTTGAAATATATTTCCAGCATTTTCTCTTGGCCAAATTTATAGGATAATTTTTTTTTTGTCAACATTTTGATGAATAGTTTCTGAGATATGGCCGAGTACCATTCTTAATGAAACACCCTGTTACTTTATTTATTAAATTTTCACAAAATGGGATAAAATTTTGTATGCATCACGTGAGTTAAAATGTTTATTCATTCGAAGAAAATTAACCCACTCGCTAGGGCTCGTGGGTTCAACTTTTTTCTCATGAATAAACATTCATTTAACTCACTGTGTATAAATAATTACTGTTTGATACTAAATTTATAAAAGAACATTGTCTTGAGTAGAAAATAAAGCATTGTATACACCACGGGGATTTTTTAGATTATAATGCCTCTGGCCCGAGGGATATATTTCGCCTTCTGGGCATTATAATCTATATAATCCCCTTGGTACATAAAGAGCTATTAAACAATAAAGCATATTTTGATTTTATTTGAACCCAGAAATTCCAAATTACTATTACAGAAGGTCTCTTCTACAAATAAAACATTCCTTTTACAAAAAAAATTAAGTCTTTATTAAGATTATTTACTTATTTACAAATCCTTGTACACCGCACGCAATAAGTTTCCCTATTCGATGGTGCTTACATCGATAACCTAAATGTTGCAAGTACCCCAAACATTTACTTTTATTTTAACAAGAGTACCTTTGGGGCGGAGATCAAAAAAATCCAAAATCAAATAGACAAAAGGAAATAAAATAAATAAATAACCAAAAAAAAATAGATAAATATAATTTTTATTGGGTTTTACACTGAATACAGAACAAGCTTGGCAAGCAATATAAAAATTATATTTTTAAGTATAAAACCCAGATACCGTAAGCAATAGGTAAATAATAATTAAATTATTGCGATTAAGTTAATAAACAATTAGAAAAAAAATATATTAACAGTAACAAAATGTATATCACAATGTTAGAATATAAATGTTAATAACAGTCTAATAATAATAAACTAAAACTAAACATAATAAATTGGGAATGATTAATAAATCAACAATTTTATAGGCTTGGTATTACTTGCTACCAATTTTGGCAGTAATAGGCATATAAAATTTGTGAGACTTAGTATCTCTGGTATGTTTAAATGGTCCTTTAGGTGTGTCCACTAGTACAGCAGGACAAGGACCCACATTTCTAGGAGCATACTCCTTCTTATACGACGTGACAACGTGCACATTGCTATCACCTAATGTGATGTTTGAAACATTGGAACGTCTAGTGATTCTTTCAACTTTTTGAATATTTTGTTGCTTAGTAAACTCCCCATAAGACTTAGCTTCAGATTGACCATAGAAGTGACCACCCACTGCAAGATTATCTTTACGTACAATCTTCTGAGGTCTTTCAACCACTTGGTATGTTGTAGATTGTAGACTACGCCTATTGGCATTATTTGCTTCTTGGTGCGACCGGTGCATTGCACTTAAACTGTGCCTATCTGTATTGACAACTGTACGTCCTTGATCGTGGATATTGCACACAGATTTTCTCATGTCTAAAGCTGAAGCACTTGTAGCATGCAAAGCTTCGGTTGATGTGTGAAGGCCTTTACGGTGAAGAATTTGATTGTTTATTTCTTCAGAACTTACTGTGCTTTTTCTGTGATGATGCGATTGATTATTGGTTATGTTTGTTTGACTGGAAGAATTGATTATGTTATTTTGTCTCACTTGATTTGTGGTACTTTTGTTTTCAGTGTGTTGACTACTTGATTGTTGCATGTGAGTTTGAGATGAAGATTTGCGAATTTCGTTGTGAGCTTGTCCAGTGTTTCTTGTAACAGTACGGGTTGTTTTAACAATAGTACCATCGGCTAAAGTTTTTACGTCGGAAGATACGTTGACTTCTTGTTTTGCTGATCTATCAACAACATCTCCGTTTGATATAACAACTTTCTTATCAACCACACGTTTGTCTACGTTTTCAACATTAACAACGCGTTTATTGTCAACATTAACAACTTTAGTTACCTTTTTGTCTACATGATCAACCACATTTCTTACGCGTTTATCGACTATTTGTTTATCAATATTTTCAACGACTTTGTCTACTTTTTTAGTGTATGTATTGTAATTAGTTTGATTGGTTGTTTGCATGACTGATTTATCGTCTCCAAGTGTAAAATGAGACTCCATATGACGTCTCTTATCGACCACATTCCTTTCAGGAGTTTTCCTAATAGGAGTCTTCTCAAATGTTTGTTTGCTAGTTGTAACAGTTTCCATTTTGCCACTGCCAACTTTCAAATGATCTTCGTGTTTTTTAATTTCAGCCCTTTCGCCACGTACAACTGTATATTGACTCTTCGATACAGTGGTGTCTTGGAAATCACCAGTAATCTTAAGATTGTCTGGATGCTTGACAATCTCTGCACGTTCGCCAGGTCCATATTTTGGTTTTTCTGGAGTTTCAAATGCTCCTTCTGGTCTTAAATTGTCTTGCGGTCTTTTTGCAGTCGGACGTTCACCCGGTTGGTACCCAGGCTTATGAGGCCTTTCAAAATCGCCTTCTGGATGTAGATTATCAGAATGTCTAATGGGTGTTCTACGTTCTCCAGGTCCCACTGGTGTGTGACTGGGTCGTTCAAAATCACCTTCAGGCCTTAAATTGTCCTGAGGTTTTTTAGGTGTAGGCCTTTCAGAAGGTTGGTATCCAGGTCTGTGAGGTCTATCGAAGTCACCTTCTGGATGTAGATTATCAGAAGGCTTAATTGGTGTTCTACGTTCTCCTGGTCCAACATGAGTGTGACTGGGTCGTTCGAATTCACCTTCAGGCCTTAAATTATCCTGAGGCTTCTTAGGTGTTTGCCTTTCTGCTGGTTGATATCCTGGTCTATGAGGTCTATCGAAATCGCCTTCTGGATGTAGATTATCAGAATGTCTAATGGGTGTTCTACGTTCTCCAGGTCCCACTGGTGTATGACTCGGTCTTTCAAAGTCACCTTCAGGCCTTAAATTATCCTGAGGCTTCTTGGGTGTTGGCCTTTCGGCTGGTTGGTATCCAGGTCTGTGAGGCCTATCAAAGTCACCTTCTGGATGTAAATTATCAGAATGCCTAATGGGTGTTCTACGTTCTCCTGGTCCAACAGGTGTATGACTGGGTCGTTCAAAGTCACCTTCTGGCTTCAAATTATCCTGAGGCTTTTTAGGTGTGACACGTTCTGCAGGTTTGTAGCCTGGTTTATCTGGTCTTTCAAAGACACCTTCAGGTTTTAGATTGTCATCATGTTTGATTGGGCTGCGTCTTTCACCAGGGCCTACTCTAGTAGGAGTCGGTCTTTCGAAATCGCCTTCCATTTTCAAATTATCTTCGTGGCGGATAACTTCTGTTCGTTCAGTGTGTGTGCTGAACTCATCTTTTTTGCTGTACGCATTAAATTCACCCTCCATTTTCAGATTGTCTTGACGTATGATGACTTCAGCTCTTTCGCCTTTGGTGACCTTGAAATCATCTCTTCTTGTGTCAATAAATTCACCTTCGGTTCTTAAATTGTCTTCGTGTCTGATTATTTGAGTTCTTTCACCTTTGACTACACGGTAATCATCCCTCGAATGCATATCAGTGAATTCGCCTTCCATTTTAAGATTATCTTCGTGTTTGACAACTTCGCGTCTTTCTCCTTTGACAACGCGGTAATCGTCTCTAGTTCTTGTATCAATAAATTCACCTTCCATTTTAAGGTTATCCTCATGACGTACAACATCAACTCTTTCACCACGAGTTACTGTGTAATCGTCACGTCTAGTAACTTGCATAGTACCTTCAGGTTTAAGGTTGTCTTCATGTCTGATGGGTTTACGCAATTCGGCAGGACCCACTTCTTTGATTTCCGGCCTCTCGAATTCACCTTCAGGTTTCAGATTGTCCTCGGGTCGTTTTTGTTTGGGACGTTCTGCAGGAACGAATTTGTCAGGAGTGCGTTTCTCGAACTGACCTTCTGGTTTGAGGTTGTCTGAAGGTTTAACTGGTGAAGGCCTTTCGGAAGGTTGATATTTTGGTTTGTCGGGACGTTCAAAGTCACCTTCGGGGCGTAAATTGTCGTCGTGTTTGATCGGAGAACGTCTTTCCGCCGGACCAATTTTGCTTGGTGTTGGTCTCTCAAAGTCTCCTTCTGGTTTCAGATTATCTTCTGGACGTTTCTGTTTTGGTCTCTCAGCAGGCACAAACTTGTCTGGAGTACGTTTTTCGAAGTCTCCTTCTGGCCGGAGATTGTCTGTAGGTTTGACAGGGCTTGGCCTTTCAGCTGGACGATATCCTGGTTTATCTGGACGATCAAAGTCACCTTCAGGACGCAAATTATCGTCGTGTTTAATTGGTGTACGTCTTTCTGCTGGACCAACTTTCGTTGGCGATGGCCTTTCAAATTCACCTTCCGGTCTCAGATTATCCTCTGGTCGTTTTTGTGTGGGTCTCTCGGCAGGCACAAATTTATCCGGAGTGCGTTTTTCAAATTCACCTTCTGGGCGGAGATTGTCTGAGGGTTTGATAGGAGCTGGTCTTTCAGCTGGACGATATCCTGGTTTATCTGGACGATCGAAATCGCCTTCAGGTCGTAAATTGTCGTCGTGTTTGATTGGTGTGCGTCTCTCAGCTGGACCCACTTTTGTTGGAGAAGGTCTCTCAAAGTCGCCTTCTGGTCTGAGATTATCCTCTGGACGTTTTTGTCTAGGTCTCTCAGCTGGCTGATATTCAGGACGCTCAGGTCTCTCAAATTCTCCCTCAGGACGCAAATTGTCATCGGGACGTTTTTGCTTTGGCCTATCAGCAGGCACAAACTTCTCTGGAGTACGTTTTTCGAAGTCTCCTTCTGGGCGGAGATTGTCTGAAGGTTTGATAGGGCTTGGCCTCTCAGCTGGACGATATCCTGGTTTATCTGGACGTTCAAAGTCACCTTCAGGACGTAAATTATCATCATGTCTAATGGGTGCACGTCTCTCTGCTGGACCAACTTTCGTTGGCGATGGTCTTTCAAATACTCCCTCAGGACGCAAATTATCATCTGGACGTTTCTGCTTTGGCCTCTCAGCTGGCACAAACTTCTCTGGAGTACGTTTTTCAAAGTCACCTTCTGGCCGGAGATTATCTGAAGGTTTGATAGGGATTGGTCTTTCAGCTGGACGATATCCTGGTTTATCTGGACGTTCAAAGTCACCTTCGGGACGTAAATTATCATCATGTCTAATGGGTGCACGTCTCTCTGCTGGACCAACTTTCGTTGGAGATGGTCTTTCAAATTCACCTTCCGGTCTCAAATTGTCTTCTGGACGTTTTTGTGTCGGTCTGTCAGCAGGCACAAATTTGTCAGGAGTACGTTTTTCAAAGTCACCCTCTGGCCGGAGATTATCTGAAGGTTTGATAGGGCTTGGCCTTTCAGCTGGACGATATCCTGGTTTATCTGGACGTTCAAAATCGCCTTCAGGACGCAGGTTATCGTCGTGTTTGATAGGTGTCCGTCTCTCCGCTGGACCAACTTTCGTTGGCGAGGGTCTCTCAAATTCTCCTTCCGGTCTGAGATTATCCTCTGGACGTTTCTGTCTGGGTCTCTCAGCTGGCTGATATTCAGGACGCTCAGGTCTCTCAAATTCTCCCTCAGGACGCAAATTGTCATCTGGACGCTTTTGCTTTGGCCTATCAGCAGGAACAAACTTATCTGGTGTACGTTTTTCAAAGTCACCCTCTGGCCGAAGATTGTCTGAAGGTTTGATAGGGCTTGGTCTTTCAGCTGGACGATATCCTGGTTTATCTGGACGTTCAAAATCGCCTTCAGGACGCAAATTATCATCGTGTTTAATAGGTGTCCGTCTCTCTGCTGGACCAACTTTCGTTGGAGATGGTCTCTCAAATTCACCTTCCGGTCTGAGATTATCCTCTGGACGTTTTTGTTTCGGTCTGTCAGCAGGCACAAATTTGTCCGGAGTGCGTTTTTCAAAGTCACCTTCTGGACGTAGATTGTCTGAAGGTTTGATAGGACTTGGCCTTTCAGCTGGACGATAACCTGGTTTATCTGGACGTTCAAAATCTCCTTCAGGACGTAAATTATCGTCGTGTTTAATGGGTGACCGTCTCTCTGCTGGACCAACTTTTGTTGGCGATGGTCTTTCAAATTCACCTTCTGGTCTCAAATTATCCTCTGGACGTTTTTGTCTAGGTCTCTCAGCTGGCTGATATTCAGGACGCTCAGGTCTCTCAAATTCTCCCTCAGGACGCAAATTGTCATTGGGACGTTTTTGCTTTGGCCTATCAGCAGGCACAAACTTCTCTGGAGTACGTTTTTCGAAGTCTCCTTCTGGGCGGAGATTGTCTGAAGGTTTGATAGGGCTTGGCCTCTCAGCTGGACGATATCCTGGTTTATCTGGACGTTCAAAGTCACCTTCAGGACGTAAATTATCATCATGTCTAATGGGTGCACGTCTCTCTGCTGGACCAACTTTCGTTGGCGATGGTCTTTCAAATTCTCCCTCGGGACGCAAATTGTCATCTGGACGTTTCTGCTTTGGCCTCTCAGCTGGCACAAACTTCTCTGGAGTACGTTTTTCGAAGTCACCTTCCGGCCGGAGATTGTCTGAAGGTCTAATCGCTGAAGGTCTTTCAGCTGGACGATATCCTGGTTTATCTGGACGTTCAAAGTCACCTTCAGGACGTAAATTATCGTCATGTCTAATAGGTGCACGTCTCTCTGCTGGACCCACTTTAGTTGGAGAAGGTCTTTCAAATTCACCTTCCGGTCTCAGATTATCCTCTGGACGTTTTTGTCTGGGTCTCTCAGCTGGTTGATATTCAGGACGTTCTGGCCGCTCAAATTCTCCCTCAGGACGCAAATTGTCATCGGGACGTTTCTGCTTTGGCCTCTCAGCTGGTACAAACTTCTCTGGAGTACGTTTCTCAAAGTCACCTTCTGGTCGTAAATTGTCTGAAGGTTTGATAGGGCTTGGCCTTTCAGCTGGACGATATCCTGGTTTATCTGGACGTTCAAAGTCACCTTCAGGACGTAAATTATCATCATGTCTAATAGGTGCACGTCTCTCTGCTGGACCCACTTTAGTTGGAGAAGGTCTTTCAAATTCACCTTCCGGCCTCAAATTATCCTCTGGACGTTTTTGTCTGGGTCTCTCAGCTGGCTGATATTCAGGACGCTCTGGCCTCTCAAATTCTCCCTCAGGACGCAAATTGTCATCGGGACGTTTCTGCTTTGGCCTCTCAGCTGGTACAAACTTCTCTGGAGTACGTTTCTCAAAGTCACCTTCTGGTCGTAAATTGTCTGAAGGTTTGATAGGGCTTGGCCTTTCAGCTGGACGATATCCTGGTTTATCTGGACGTTCAAAGTCACCTTCAGGACGTAAATTATCATCATGTCTAATAGGTGCACGTCTCTCTGCTGGACCCACTTTAGTTGGAGAAGGTCTTTCAAATTCACCTTCCGGCCTCAAATTATCCTCTGGACGTTTTTGTCTGGGTCTCTCAGCTGGCTGATATTCAGGACGCTCTGGCCTCTCAAATTCTCCCTCAGGACGCAAATTGTCATCAGGACGTTTCTGCTTTGGTCTTTCAGCTGGCACAAACTTCTCTGGAGTACGTTTTTCAAAGTCACCCTCTGGCCGGAGATTGTCTGATGGTCTTATCGCAGCTGGCCTTTCAGCTGGACGATATCCTGGTTTATCTGGACGTTCAAAGTCACCTTCAGGACGTAAATTATCATCATGTTTAATAGGAGACCTTCTCTCACCTGGGCCAACTTTCGTTGGAGAGGGTCTTTCAAAGTCACCTTCCGGTCTCAAATTATCTTCTGGGCGTTTTTGTTTTGGCCTTTCAGCGGGTTGATACTTTTGTTTTTCCGGACGTTGGAAGTCACCTTCCGGTCTCAAATTGTCGTCATGTTTAATTGGAGACCTGCGTTCGCCTGGTTTGATTTTAGTTGGAGTTGGTCTTTCGAAATCGCCTTCAGGATGTAGATTGTCCTCTGGGCGGATTTGTTTGGGTCTTTCAGCAGGTCTGTATTCTGGACGCTCTGGTCTCTCAAAGACACCTTCAGGTCTAAGATTATCGCCTGGTCGTATTTGTTCGCGACGTTCAGCTGGTCTGAATCCAGGTTTATCAGGTCTCTCAAATACGCCTTCAGGATAGAGATTGTCTTCGGGACGTTTTTGTGTACGACGATCGGCGGGCACAAACTTATCTGGAGTGCGTTTTTCGAAATCTCCTTCTGGATGCAAATTGTCTTCTGGCCTTTTAGCTGAAGGTCTCTCTCCTGGCCTATATTTTGGTTTTTCTGGACGTTCGAAATCGCCTTCAGGACGTAAGTTGTCGTCGTGTTTAATTGGAGTGCGTCTCTCAGCTGGCCCACTCTTTGTGTGCGTTGGTCGCTCAAAGTCTCCCTCAGGTCTCAAATTGTCCACGGGACGTTTTTGTTTGGGCCTTTCAGCGGGACGATAACCAGGTTTTTCAGGTCTTTCAAAGTCACCTTCGGGACGTAAATTATCTTTAGGTCTTTTTTGTTGGGGTCTGTCAGCGGGTACAAATTTTTCAGGAATACGTTTTTGAAAGTCACCTTCTGGACGTAGATTATCACGATGAATGACTACAGTTTGTTTGAAATCAGTAGTATCAAATTGCTTGTAGACATCCTGACTAGTCGTGGTTACTTCAGTGTCTTGTGTAGAATAAAATTTGTCCACGTCATCTTTAGTCCAAGTTCTTCTACGTCGGTCCACGTGGGGAGTCTTCTCGGTATATTCAACAGTCATGGAAGTGTCAAAAGTCATATCGCCTTCTACTGTTAGGTTGTCAGTTCTTTTCTGGACGGTACTTCGTTCTACAGTGGTACTGTAGTCAATAAATTCGGATTTGTTGGTTGTGTCCGAAGTGAATTCGCCTTCGATTTTGGTGAAGGTATTGCGTCGCACTGGGCTTTCTCTTGGTCCCAATTCGCCCGTGAAGTCAGTTTTGGATGTGGTGATATCTATAGAAATCCAGAAATAATTGCAAATAATTTTTATAAAACTATAGAAAGTGGGTTACCTGTAAATTCTCCTCCAAAAGTGATATTATCTTCGTGTCGTACAATTTCGGCCCTGTCTCCACAAATCACTTTGTAGTCTTGTACAGTGCGTTTCACAAATTCGCCTTCAGGTTTAAGATTATCCTGAGGCTTTTTGGCTACAGGCCTTTCTGCTGGCATCTGAAAAATTAAATAAGGATAAAACATTTTTTATTTCACGAATTTCTGGGAATTATTGCTTACCCATTTTTGCGGTTCTGGTAGCTCAAAATCACCCTCAGGTCTAAGATTATCCTGAGGTTTTTTAACTGGAGCTCTGTCACCTGGTTTCCATTCTTCTGGCTTCCTCCTTTCAAATTCTCCTTCTGGCCTCAAATTATCCTCGGGTCTTTTTTGTTGCGGCCTTTCAGCTGGAACAAATTTTTCCGGGGTACGTTTCTCAAAGTCACCTTCCGGTCTGAGATTATCCTCAGGCCTCTTTTGTTGCGGTCTTTCAGCGGGACGGTATCCGGGTTTTTCTGGTCGTTCGAAATCGCCTTCGGGTCGTAGATTGTCGGTTGGTCTTTTCACTGGAGCGCGGTCGCCTGGTTGCCACTTTTCAGGCGTTGGCCTTAAAAAAAAAAAAAAACATCGAATGTTTGTCAATGAAAACTTAGTTTTTACCTTTCAAAGTCACCCTCAGGCCTTAGATTATCTTGGGGTCTCTTTTGTTGCGGTCTTTCACTGGGTTGCCATTTTTCCGGAGTGCGTTTTTCAAAGTCTCCTTCTGGTCTCAAATTGTCTTCCGGTTTTTTCTGCTGCGGACGCTCCGCAGGGCGATATCCGGTTTTTTCGGGCACATTGAAGTCACCTTCCGGTCTCAAGTTGTCTTGTGGTCTCTTTACGGGGGCACGGTCGCCCGGTTTCCATTCTTCTGGACGACGTTTTTCGAATTCACCTAGGAAAAAAATATTTCTGAAAATACGTCATAGGTTTTTGTTGTTGAATCTAATGCAGTACTGTGTCAAATAACGCTATATCTCTAGATTATTAGCGATGGAAAACTATCGGGATGCGTTAATGAAAACAGCAGCTGAACTGCTAGTTTTTGAGGGTTTGTTTTAGTTTAAACACTATGGGAACTGACTATGTAACAAGTTTTGTCTTGAACATTGACACTAAAGTAGCACTAACTGTTTCAGTTGGGAGTTGATTCCTGGGGGCAAAGACTGATGTTTGGTAAATCTTGCTGCACACTTTGGAGTAGTTTTCTTTTTCAAGTTTGAGACTGTGACCCTGGAGTCTCTGGTCTGTGATCAAGGCATAGAGGTGTCTAACTGTTTGAATGTTATTGTGGAGTGTTTAGTAGGTGAAGATAAGGTCTCCTCTTGTTCTTCTATTTTGGAAGCTCAGCAGTTTTTGTTGTTCTAGCCTTTCCCTATATGTAGGTCTTCTTCTAACATGTTGCAATCGTGTTGCTTTTCTCTGTACCATAAAGTGACATAACTTTGACCGGTTTTCAACTTTACACTGCAACATTGCATTACTTGAAGGCGACAAAAATCAAACAAAAGTGCCAATATTGGGGCTGTAACTGATATTATAGTATCCAAAAGTCAAAGACATATTAACAAAATGTTATTATCTAATCAACGTTAACTAAAATTCTAACGGAAATAACATATTTTTTTTTTCTAATCAGTCAGTTGCATTATATTCGTAGGTAATACCATAAGAGCTCAGATTTAGCCGGATATTTTTTGGCTTGGTCTCGAATACTTACTTTTAGGAAATTTAACGAGAGCTGTTCGCGACAAAATCACGAGAGCGCAGCTCGAGTGATTTTGTGGAACAGATCGAGATAAATTGCATGAAAGTAAGTATAAGAGAGCAAGCAAAAAAATATCCTGCTCAAAATCTGAGCTCGAATGGTATTTAATACGGCAATTCCACGAATGCATAATCAAAATAAAATATGGAAATACTTTTTAAAATGAACAGTTATTGAAGGTACAATTAGAATAAATATTTTCCCCTTACAATTTGACTCTACAGAAAGAGAAGAAGACTCTGTGTTCTCAGGAATTTTCTATTTCGCTATTAATTCATCTTTAATTGTCCCAAATTGCTGCGTGTTGAAAATATTTTTAATTTTATTTAAAAATACACTTTTAATAAGCTAAAATGATAGAACTTGTGAATTTTTGTGACAATTATTTGACAGATGATTCAAAAACCAATTTTATATGCAATTGTTACTACGGTAACGATTTCATCAACAGAAAATTTATCCGATTTTTTTATCCAGTTATATTTTCTCTTCCTTCCTATTTATCCGCTAGCAAACTACAATTTTTGACATTTCAAATGGGATTATTTATACATGAGTGGAATTGTCGTAGGTAATACCATAAGAGCTCAGATTTAGCCGGATATTTTTTGGCTTGGTCTCGAATACTTACTTTTAGGAAATTTAACAAGAGCTGTTCCGACAAAATCACGAGAGCGCAGCTCGAGTGATTTTGTGGAACAGATCGAGATAAATTGCATGAAAGTAGGTATGAGAGAGCAAGCAAAAAAATATCCTGCTCAAAATCTGAGCTCGAATGGTATTTAGTACGGCAATTCCACGAATGCATAATCAAAATGAAATATGGAAATACTTTTTAAAATGAACAGTTATTGAAGGTAAAATTAGAATAAATATTTTGCCCCTTAAAATTTGACTCTACAGAAAGAGAAGAAGACTCTGTATTCTCAGGAATTGAATTTTCTATTTCGCTATAAATTTATCTTTAATTGTCCCAAATCGCTGCATGTTGAAAATATTTTTAATTTTATTTAAAAATACACTTTTAATAAGCTAAAATGATAGAACTTGTGAATTTTTGTGACAATTATTTGACAGATGATTCAAAAACCAATTTTATATGCAATTGTTACTACGGTAACGATTGCATCAACAGAAAATTTATCCGATTTTTTTATCCAGTTATATTTTCTCTTCCTTCCTATTTATCCGCTAGCAAACTACGATTTTTGACATTTCATATGGGATTATTTATACATGAGTGGAATTGCCGCTGAAATTGCATATTATCATTCATAAATCTAATATTACAAATAAAATAAACCTTTATTCTTTGGCGTGAAACAGAACACATTAAAAAAAAAACCTCTACCTAACCAATCTAATTTCTACTTGTTAATTTCAGTCTATTTCTAGAGGATTGAGAAGAAGTTCTCCAAAAAATAACCCCTGTTTTCTATTTGAAGAATTCTTTAGTTTCGTAACTATCTGCTCTGGTTCTATAATCGATTGATCCACTACCTACGTTTGGCCAGAAAAAAATTAACTTTTTATTTCGTAAAAATGAAACATCAACTTCCGAATCATTTTAAATGACCCAATGACCGGTGGTCAAAGTTAGGAACGCAAAAAAAAATAGGTTAGAAAATTTTGAAAAAAATCCCTGAACTCTAAATAAAGTGTTAACGCCAAATCTAACACATGCATTTGCGAACATACATAACAGGATACTCACCGTGAGTAATGATGACTCCTGATTATATTTTGTTTGCTCTCCACGAGGGAAAGTTTGCAAGTGACAATTTTCAACCAATTTTTGGTTCAAACGGTCAAAGTTTATTGTGCATCTGATTTTTAACTGAACATGCATTCCGCAACACAGTGCCAGTTATTAGACATTAGACTAACTGTTTGTAGGTAGAAATCGCCAGCAATATAAATTCACAGTTTTTTAAGGTGCATTATATCATTTAATGATCTTTTGGTCAATGTTAGGGGAGCAGTCAAAGTTAGGGGACTTTACGGTACAGCTTCAAGGCTATTGCGGTTTCTAATGAAGTCTATAGGTACCAAGCCTGACCTGCATATTCTAGGATTCGCCTGCAGTATAAGTTGTACAGCTTCTGGGGAGGGGGGGGGGGGCGGTGTTTGGGACGACCTTCTTTAGGAGGAATAACTTGCTGTTGGCTTCTTTGCATATTGTTACATCTGCTAATTAGGTCAAGTTTTTGGTTATCAGAACTCCAAGGTCATTGTGTTGGTGAACACTGACCAGTACTGACTCATTAATGGTGTTTTCATATTCTGGGTTATTTTTCCGAAGATGGAGTCCTACACATTTTTCCACATTAAGGGGTAGTTGCCAGTCAAAACCCCTCAGATTTTCTGCTACCATGGATTCCATGATTTTGCTTACAATAGGTAGCAAGCTTATATGCCTGGAGTTTCCACTTTCCAGCATCTAGTTTATCACCTTTTTTGTATATCGTGGTGAGCGGCGGAGAGCCTTTTTTGCTCCAGTGGTATATTCATTATTTTGCATAGGGGAACAAGGGGAAGCAAGGTTGTTTGAGCACTTTTTCAGAACTAATGAGGATATTCCGTCCAGACCTGGAGTGCTGGTAACCTTCAGAACTTCTCCCTTCTTTAGAATATATTGGCTTGTGATTTGGATAGTTGAAGGTACCCTCTGTCGAAGTTTATTTGGAGATCTTCAGGAGTTAATGCCTCCGTCATGAATACTTTAGAAAACTCTTCTGCCAAGATGGTGGCTTTCTCGATATTATTTGTGCACATTTCCCCATTTGGAGTTTTTAAAATAGGAATGCCTACTTTGATGTTAAGTTGTAATCTAATGTACTTGTGTAGTTTTTTTGGGATTCTCAAAGTTTGTTAGGCTGTCAATGTATGGCCAGCTTAACTTCTTTGATTTTTTGTGTTAGGGTGTTGGTACGTTAGTACCTTTTCCATAGCTCCCTTTTTCTCCCAGAGTCTCGGATATGGTTGTTAGCAGTGGCGTACTCAGACATTGGTCTTAGGGGGGGATAAAAAATAATCAGGGCAACAACAAGCAAATTTTCAATCAACTGTCGGATTAAGCTTTTTATAAAGCAAAATCTAGTCGCCTAGGTCTTTTTGCTAGCTCATCTATGATTTCATCTTCACTCGCAGATAGTTCTCTATGGATTGACATCATTGCCAATCCATTAAGCCTGTTTTGACAAGTAGAGTTGCGAAGATAAGTTTTCATTCTTTTGAGTGTTGAGAATGTCCTCTCTGGGGTGGCTGTGGATACTGGTAATGTGTTAAGGGTAAGCCTTAAAGCTAATCGGTTGCATAATTCCAAGTGCGATAAGGCTTGACGTTTACTTCTCATATCCAGATGGCTACTCAAATAATTGTGCCATAATTTAGTTTCGGCTTTTACACATCAGGAATATACAAATGTGAAAGTTCTCCATAGGCATCGCAATCATTTGTTGTTTGGTGGCACATAAAGCCTTTAAAAATCTGTTTATAGTTAGCAAATCTCTCTTCTATCTGACCAATGAAACGATCAATAAATGGAAAATGAATTGCAATTCTAACAGTGTGACAGTGATGCAATGACCAAGGTTGCCATTTCTACGGAATAAGGATTCTGAGGATATTTCCCTCAATCTAAATGGGGGAAATATATAGGGTGTTTGGTACATCGAAAAGAAGATGTTAATGAGTGACAGCTGGGGGTGATTTGGAAGCTGTTGGACCATATTTACCTTCAGGCAAAGTTTCGCCGTTTTTTGAGATATCGCCATTTCAGATATTTTGAATCCATGTATTTTAACACATAACTTGAGCTACATATTCTTTGTATCATCCATTCTTTCAATATTTTTCCGAAAGAGTGCATATGAGGAATATCGGAAAAAAATTGAGAAAGGGTGAAGTGTTCACTACCAAAAGTTTTAGAAACAATTCAAATATTTCCCAAAAATATCTAAAAATGCTGATATCTCAAAAATGACGAAACTTTGCATAGGGGTAAATGTGGTTAACAGCTCCCGAATGACCCCAACTAAACAGCATATAATGATAACATAATTCTGCCCGAAAAAAATCCCGTTAAAGTAATGTGGAAAATCATAAACAAATCGAGAAATGTAGACTCTTGCGAAGAAGTTAGTTCGCTTCTCTCACCTAGTGATTTCAATAAATACTTTTGCAGCATTGCACAGGATCTCACTAGCAAGATTGGTCCGAACGAGCTTGGTCCTTTACATTACCTAAACCACATGATTTCTCCACCTAATATTTTCAACTTTTCTCCTGTACCCTGCAGTGAAATTAGGGATATCATAGACAACATTGAAAATAAGGCCAGCATTGATATCTTTGGTTTGAGCATCAAATTGATCAAATTCATTGAGAATATTATTATCATTCCCCTAACCAGATTAATTAATTCCTGTTTTCGCCAAAATGTTTTCCTGATATTCTGAAGGAAGCTCTTGTCGGTATTGTCTAAGATTGTGGAAAGATGCATGGCTTTGAGGTTGGTGAAGTTCCTCGAGGAGAACTGATGCTTTACTGAATGCCAGTTTGGTTTTCGAGCGGGCAGATGTACTACATTGGGTATATTGAATCTCATTGCCGGTATTCTGGATTCTTTTGACAATCTCCAATTTAGTGCTGTGCTTTTCTGTGACCTAAGTAAGGCATTTGACTGTTTCCCATGAAATCCTGCTGAAACATTGAAAACTTCCTATCGATGTACCTACCAAACACCCTGTATAGTCGAATGAAGGAATTCTCCTCGGAATTCTCTATGTAATTGCTGTGCTTAAGGTATCTTTTATTTTTTCATTTTCACTTTGATGCTGGTATGGGCATCTGGTGGGACTTCCTGGGGGGAGATATATACCCCTTATCCCCCCCCCCGTGGGTACGCCTCTGGTTGGTAGTTATCCATGGGTTTTAGGTTATTTAGTCTTTTGGTTTTTTTTTATTCGGTGTTGCTTGCAAACGAAGAACAAGACGCAAAGTGACTCAATATAAACAACTTCGCTGACAAGAAAAACCAAGTACAAAGGAAGAAAAAATGTGGATTATAAAATAAGAAGCTGGAAGAAATACGAGAACTTTGATGATCAAAATAAGGCTAGGAAATTATATAAAGCTGTACATTTTAAACGCATCTCTCTAACCAAGATCCGCTTATTAAAGGCGATCAGAGAAAAATTTGCAGTCGATAAGCAGAGCAATTAGAAGGATTAGAAGGAATGCTCAGTAGAAAACACCAACAGTTTCTGAAGTAAATCGTGCCGTGCTATAAGAATAAGGTATCTCAAAAATTATGGTTTAATCTCGGAGTTGTTCGAACATATCAGCAACTATACTTTATCAAAAGGATTCACAAATATTACCAAAATCTGGAATAAAGGATAAACAATTTTGCATTTTTGCACGACCCAAACCAAATTTGCACACCCTTTTCCGAGAGACTATAGCCGATTTTTTTTCAAATGGGGCAAACTTGACTTTGTAAAAATAAGTCATTTTTTTTATCAATTCTTAGAAATGCGTGCGTTTTAGAAAAAAAGTTTCCTACTTTTTTTTTTTGTCTATTTTTAAGCAATAAATAGGCTGGTTAAATTTGAAGTAATTCTGAGGCAATTCATTTGTATGCACGAACGGGCGTAAAAGTGCACTTTCACGCCCGCATTTTAGAGCGTGAAGTAGTACTTTTACGCCCTAGGGCGCCTTTTATGCCCGCGGGCCTGAAAGTTTTAAAATTTCAAAAATAAGCAAGAATTCGACTCAATTTTTTGAACCTTTTGCATTTCTATTGCTTAGTCCAAAAAATATCAACTTTGTTCAACGAAACAAGCTTTATTTTAATTAATAAGAATAATGGAATAAGCAATAATAATAAAATTCAATCTACTTTCAAATTAAAATTGCCTTCAACATTGAGTAATATCTCCAAAGTGTGGATGGTGGATGGTTTATTTTTTATTGCATTTTTCATTAATGTTTATGCCAGGACAGGTTTCTTCTACAAAGTACTGCTGCTCATTGATACTATGTTGGGCACACCAGGAAATAAAGTCCCTATATGTTTTTCATAGTCTTTTGGACTTTGAAGGTAATAGATCTTCCCTGGCCTCTTCAACTGCCTCAAAAATAAACTTGGGGAGGCTAGTTTGCTCCATTTTCAGACGCCAGACTATACATCATAAGAAAACTATAGACTTACAATACACAGAGTAAAATAATTATTTGTTTGTATTGTTCTGGGTTGCTATAATAGTTACGTGATACTTTTGTCAACAACTGCTTTCTTGATCTAAATTTGACAAAAACTTATGACTTATTATGCGGTGAACATGAAAATTTATATTTTGAAATATTTTTGATTGATGTCATTACAAAATTAAAAATTTATAATTTTTCAAATATCAAAATGAAAACATGCTCATCGTGCATAAAATCTTGTATGCACCTCGGTCAAAAAGAGCTTTAACGCCCTCAGCGTGTAAACAGCCCTCGGCTAACGCCTCAGGCTGTTACACACGCTGCGGGCGTTAAAGCTGTACTTTTTGACCTAGGTGAATAAATAACTATTTATTTATGGAGGTGAGTGACTAGTGACGTTTGTAGCTCGCCTAGAATGGAAAACGAAGCAGCATACGAAAAAAAATGAGCAGACAAAAAAGTTGTATTTTTAAGTGTTTTATTCAAAAAACATATGAAGGTGTTAACAAACTATGAAAATTTCATCGAATTCGTTCAACGCATTTCTAAGAATTAATAAAAAAATTGACTTATTTTTACAAAGTTTAACACTACCCTGTATCTGGAAAGCGAAGCATTTCCGAACATATGTTTATCAAAAAAAAAACTTAATTCTCACGACATCTACCATCCCTAGAAGTTTGTAACAAACCTATCGTGACACCTTGTATGTACAGGGTGAGTCACTATATTTTGAAACTCATCTGCAGCTGTAATTACAGGTGATAGGTGGAAGGTGTAAATACAAAAGTTGTGGCATTTTATCTGAACTACCAGAATTTTTAATTAGATTGAAAAAAAAAGAAACAAAAAATTAAAAAATATGTCAGGAGTTTAGTTATTCGAAGACCTATTCACGTATCACAATGTTTTGTGAACAGGTGACAGGTAAATCAAGGTAAAATTCAAAAAACTATTGTCTTTGGATAACTGAATTCCAGATATTTCCAAAACTATTGAAAGAAACATTTACATATCATTTAATCTTGATCTGAATCAGAAAAATAAAGGGCATTCCATTTAAAAAAAATGAACATCGACATATTTTTTCACTTTACGTTGCTCATTTGTTTAAACTAATAAAAAATTCTGGCGGTTCAGATAAAATGTTACAACTTTTGTATTTACACCTTTAACCTATCCCCTGTAATTACGGCTGCAGGTGGGTGTCAAAATATGGTGACTCACCCTGTACCTTATACATAAAATGTGCTTGGAATTTGCCATAGAATCAAACATTGCAGATCAAAGCAGGTTACAGTTTCTTCAGTAAAATTGATAGAAGGGATTTAGAAGACTTTATTTTCGAAATGAAAAGAGGAAGAAACGATTTTCATACGAGGAGAAACTGTCAAGTTTGCTTCCATTTGAAAATCAGCTGCAGTCTCTCGGAAGAGGTTATGCAAAATTTGGTTTGAGTCATGTAAAATTGTGCAAAATTTGCGCAAAATTATCAGGAATAATCTGTGCACTTTATAAAAAAGGATTCCAGAGTGCAAAAATTATCGAGGTATTAGGTACTCTCCTCTCCGAAAACTACCAGTATGGATTCCGTTATGGACCTTCACCAGACATTCTTTATGAGATTCTGGAGAAGATCCTAGAATTCAATGTGAACATCTGTGTTTATCGACACGTCTGTTCGCAAAGAAATCACAAACTAGTCAGAGCGAATTTCATTGGTTGAAAACATTCAGAAAACTAGTTACAACCAATGAAATTCACTCTTACTGGTTTGTGATTTCTGTGCGAACAGACCTTTATCAGGCATCTTATGGCAGCACTTTCAGAATGCGAAATATAACAAACACAAAAAAAATCAAATTCTTACCTTCCGGACGTAAATTATCCTGTGGTTTCTTAACAGTACCCCTGTCTCCTGGAAGCCATTGTTCCGGTACTCGCTTAGCGAATTCGCCTAGAGAAAACACAAAATCCTTTTTGGAAAAGAACAAATAACACTTATAAACTAAAATAAATAACAGTAGATTTATAAACAGGACAATCATTGCACCAACATTTCATTTATACACTCACTATGCGGATTGCAGAAAATGTTTATTTAAAAATATTTTAGATTTTTTTTTTTGTAAGAATAATTGTTTATATTGTCAATATAGAAGATTGTAGCAAAGTTGTTGGAACAGTAATAAAAATTGTTCACATTCAAACAGGACTACGGTACCTATATGCAATCAAAATTCTATGAATTCCTGATATGTAGTATGTACAGGGTGGCCCGTTTATTTCGTTTATTTTGTCTTATGTCGGTACCTATATGGAAATCTAGATATTTTATGACAAAAAGTTAAATACAAAAGTTTAGTAAACATGTATTTATATTATTCCAGATTTCCTTTTGATTTTTATTTTAAATTTTTCCTCCAAATATTTTTGTTTAGTTGTTCTAATCATTCCCTTAACGTATTTATTGAATTCACTTTCGGTCAACGTACTTATATCACTTGGGCCAGAGAAATACACAATTGACCACAAGCGTTAATATCATAATACCCTTGATACCTTAATAACTATAACCCTACAACTTTTGTATTTAACTTCTTGTCATAAAATATCCAGATTTCCATATACCGAGATAGGACAAAATAAACGGGCCACCCTGTACCTAATAATTATTATTGATAGATATATTATAAATTATAAGGTATTCGATAACAAATTGAGATAGCTAAACGTAGATATAATATAATGCATTGAGCTTACTATAGGCGTGAAAGAGTGCATGTGTTTAAAAAGGTTTGGGATCCAAATTGTCAGTGAAGTGATTTTTTACAGTCTCATCTACTATTCTTAATTCAAATTTTGAGTATTTTGAGTTCATTCTTAATTGATTGGCTATTCTATAATAGAACTTAAAACTGTAGGTATCATAGATATTGAACTGAAATTTTCTGAAAATGTAGTTGCAGTGAAAGAATTACAAATCCTGCAAATTTTGCCTTTTATCTAATATTTTGCATTGATAGACACTATTGAAAGTAAATGGTCATAGTTCAGTTTCTGAGCCAGATATATCAACTGCTGGTTTGACATTTTTTATGGACAACGTTTCATTTCAGTTCTTCAAAAAAAAGAAGTTGCTCAGAAAATCATATTTTTTTTTAACGAACAAAATTTAATTTTTTCGTAAAGGTTGAATTGATTCAGAAAAGACTTCAGTTTTGAAATCTCTGAGTACAAATTGGGAAATTTATACAGTTTACGGCACCAATAATAAGAGTCTGAAACAGTCGTCTGAAACCGTATACAAATTTTGAATGGTTAAAAATTACGACTAGCAAACAAAACCATTTTTCAATTAGGCACAATTACATTGATCTACTAGCGGAAATTGTCGCATCGGACTCATGTGTTTGTGTGTGTGGTGCAATGTTTTATATCATTTGCCATGCTTCCAGTGTTTTTTCGAAAAATACTATTAAAGAACTACTATTTAATGCAGTAACAATTATTACCTTCTGGATACAAATGATCTTGTGGTTTCTTGACTGGGAATCTTTCGCCCTTTGTCGCATTGTATTCGTCTTTTGGCGTGGCATAAATTGGTCCTTCAGGGTGAAGGTGATCGTTGTAGTCGTCTGGGTTGTGAGGGCAGCTATGACGTCTAAAATGAAAATAGAAAGGTTTTATTTAAAAGCAAAAAATCGATAAAAATAATAAATTATATACCTATTCGTATTAAATGCAAAATTATTGAATGTTTGCTTATTATTTCTTATTGGTATTGAATAATTGGTATATTTTTCGAAAGTTGTGGTCCAACTACTTCATACATTTCTTCACAACTGACTTTTCCATCATAAACGTTGCCTATATTAATTAATTTCAATCATGGTTTAGAGCGCACCACCAGTTGTGAAACTGCGGTTCAGTGTGTTGTGGATGAGTGGAAGAATTGGGCTGACAGTAACTATATGGTAATTGCAGTGTTTTTAGATCTCCAGAGGGTTTTTGAGACGGTAGACAGCAAAATGCTCTTAAATAAACTTGAAACAGTGGGTGTTGGTGGATGTGTACCAAAATGGTTTAAGAACTATTTCGCAAATCGAGTACCTACAGAATGTTAAACTGAATTGAAAAGTTTCTGGAAATTTAGAAAATTATCATGGTGTACCTCAGGGTAGCGTACTGGGGCCACTACTTTTTATTTTATATATAAATGACATAGCAGATATTTTAGGAAATGCTAATGTTCACTTATTTGCTGATGACACACTGGTTTATGCAGCCTCTAGGAATTTGACAAGCCTTGTTCAAAACATGAATGCAGAGTTGAATAGAATTTATAAATATACTGTATAATATCGTTTAAAGTTAAATATTCGCAGTCAAAATTCATGTTAATAACCAATGACAAAACCAAACTCCATTGTGATGACAATGATCTTTCATTCATGGTTGGATCTAATAACATTCAAAAAGTACAAAAGTTTAAATATTTGGGGGTGATAGTGGATGATAAACTTTTATTTAGGGAACATTGCAATTATATTGTGTCTAAAATAAGTTTTAGTGTTAACTATCTATCTCGATGTTCCTATTTTATTTCTTTCTGGTCAAAGTTAGTTGTATATAATACATTAGTTTTGCCACATTTCAACTTCTGTGCAACAATCATGTATTCATTCAAGCAGAATGAGGTGGCTAGACTACAAAAATTGCAGAACCGGGCTATGCGTGTAATTCTTTCCTGTATCAAGTATACACCAATAAACTCAATGTTAAGAGCAGAGATGGGCATCTACGCGTAAACAAAGATTGTCTACGTCTGGTGTAAACAACGCGTAGACAATGTAAACTATGTAATCTATGTAGACAACGTGTAAAATATGTAGACAACGCGTAAAGTATAAAATTTTAGACAGTTGGCAGGCCTTTAAGGTTATGTTTCTGTTTTTGCTTTGTTTTGTTTTTTGCTTTGTAATGTTAATTAAACTGCAGATAATGTCTAATTTGATACAACATAAATTTAATGCAATGCAAACTTTCAAAAAAATTACTCAAATTTCAAATTTTCTGTTGTCTACATTGTCTACATAGTTTACATAGTCTACATGGAAAAAAGTGGATGTAAACAATACGTAGACAACGAGTAGACAAACCGCGCAAAGTAGATTTCATAGTCTACGGCACATCCCTGGTTAAGAGTAATGCAATGGCTACCGGTTGTGGAATTTGTAAGGTATAATGCCTTGGTTTTCATTTTTAAGATAAAGATTGGACGTGCTCCTGAATACCTTATAAACAAAATAGTTTACAACAATGAAGTGCATAACTTTAATACCAGAAATAGGAATAGTTTTTTCATAACTCCAAAGAGTAAAAAATGTACAATGAATTCAATTTTTCATAAAGGATTTAACGAGTTTAATAACCTACCAGAAGAGATAAAAAACTGCACTTCATTGTTGAGTTTCAAGAAAAAACTAAAAATTTATATGCTAGGTAATTGTGACATACTGGATGGTTGATCTTGTGATAACTTTTAAATTACTGTGTATCGTTTGTGATTATTAAGTTTTGTTCTGTTAGTTTACCTATTTTATGAATTATTTTACATTTTATTTTTTACTTACTTTTCATATACCGGGTGTCCCACCGAAACCTGTCAATGTCCTATATCTTGAAAACGGTAATCGATAAAAAAATAATGAAACACCCTTTTGGAGGGTTGGAAGGGGGAACCAAAAAAAGGTACTTTTCAGGTCTCCCTGAATCACCCCTCTAGCCGTAGCTACCCTAACCTCAAAATCTTAAATGGCATTATAGGTCATGTGATACCTTGTTTTGAAGGTCTTTTAATTCTCTTAATGGATCTACAAAAAAAAATTATCCAGATTTAAATGTGACTCTCATTTCGATGAAAACCTCATTTGATCGGGTGGAACAGGTAAATGTGATTTAAAACCGATTTTATACAAATTGAATAACACCATGAATATTTTTGAAGAAATCATCAAGATTTTATTTTTTGAACCCCTTTCCCCTCACTGTACCTGACAGTATTCACCTCCTCAAGAGGGCAAAGTTGTTAACTTGAAGCATACGCCATTTTGTGACAATTTAAATTTGTATCCAGATAATTTTTTTTTGCATATTTGTTTGGAGAATTAATATACCTTTCAAACAAGGTATCATATGACCTATAATGCCATTTAAGATTTTGAGGTTAGGGTAGCTACTGCTGGAGGGGTGCTTCAGGGAGACCTGAAAAGTACCTTGTTTTGGTTCCCCCTTCCAACCCTCCAAACGGGTTTTTTATTTATTTTTTTTAATCGATTACTGTTTTCAAGATATAGGCCATTGACAGTTTTCGGTGGGACACCCGATATATTTATGTATTTTGTACTATTGGAAACTAGCAATTTTCATGCTAAATAAAGGATTTAGTAATATTAATTAAAAGATGGTCAATTTCACAAACCATGGTTGGCTGTTATGTTCAATTTTTTGAGATTTTAGGTAGGTATGAGCTATCAGCAAAAAAATTTTTCTAGTTTATTATAAAATTGACCAACAGAATTATAGAACAGTAAATTTATCTTGCAGATAGTTACCAGAAAGTTCACCAGAAGATGAATGAACCGGGCCTAAATAATTCGAAATTGTTGAATAAATATAAATATCTTTCAGTCTATTTCTAGTATTATTATCTTAGGATAAAATTTGAGTAAAATTTCAACTTTGAAGCCTAATTTCTCAAAACCTTTAAAAGCAATAGTATGATTTTTGGAGGTTTTATAGAGAATTTAATCCTCTTTCAGAAAACCTATAATACAAGTCAATTCGTTCAGAATTACCAAAACTGGGAGCAAAATTTTGACAAGTCAGACTGTAAGAAAATTTCTGAAGTCAAAATTGAGATTTTTTTTTTTCAATAAAATTACCGTTTCCGAAATAATTTGGGATTTGTTCTCCACTTATTCAACCTTATCTTCCGATTGGGATAGTCCAATTTCGAAAAAATTAAAATTTAAACATTTTGACTTTTCAGGTTACCTACCCCCTTTGGATTTTTTATTTAAAATATTTCGACAATATCTCGGTTAATATGAGACGTACTTATCAAGTCAAATTTTTCTGAGCTCGTAAGTAGCTCTTATTGAGTACTTCAATACCTTATTTAGAAAATATTTTTCAACATAATAAGAGAATTTTCTTCTCATTTTCAGTAGGTCGGTACCGGGTGATTGTCTATATTTTGCATCCATACCTATCTCACCTGTTTGAAAAAATACCCAGAAATGTCAAATGTATAAGTTGTAGGTAATATCAGAAAGTTTTCACTGATATTAGTTAGTATACAGGGTGTGTCACAAAAGTGTGGCGAAGCAAAGTTATACTTTTTTAAATGGAAAACCCTGGTATATTATTGTCTCATTGGATTAGCCTTTCCAACCTGATTCCAAATATACTAGGTTTTTCAGGTTTATTCCTCATAGTCCAGCCTCTGAATATCCCATTTTGAAGAAATAATATGGATTTTTTATATGAATGATTACCTTTATATTTTGCTAGTGGTCGCTATACTTCACCGTTTTCAATAAAATTAGTATATTATTCAACGAGCGGGTTATGAAGGCTATTACTCACGGAGGATGAAGTTTGCACTACGAGCCGCAGGCGAGTAGTGTATTTATCCGAGTGAGCAATAGCCATTACCCACGAGTAGAATACCTACTATACTTTTTCTATGATTATTAGATAATAGGCACGAGTTATACGGCTTTTTATTTAATTTTCATAACAAAATTAATTGACAATTCTGACAGCTGGAGGACAAAGTGCGGTTGGGTTGGCACAAGTCTTGTCTAAATCAGCTGTCAAAATGTCCGATTGGAAGGTTGATGTATGTTATCAACTTGTCGAATTTTCTGATTGGCTCTTAGATAGTGGAGTAATGAGACCAGGATATTTTCATTGATTGAAAACAATTGAGTAATGAAAAAAAACTCACTGTATGAGTAATCATTCACATTGATCAATAGGAAATGGATGTGGGTATATCACGGAATCAGGTTTGAAAAGCTAATCCAATGGGACAATAATATACGGGGTTTTCCATTTAAAAAAGTATCACCTTGCTTCACCACAATTGTGTGACACAACCTGTATACTTGTAAACTTTCTGATATTACCTACAACTTTCACATTTGACATTTTTGGGTATCTCTTCAAACAGGTGAGATAGGTATGGGTGCAAAATATAGACAATAACCCGGTACTTATACAGGGTATACCATTTAAAACGAAACAGGATAAATATCTGATGCCACTTTTATTTTATTTTTAATCGCTTGTACACGTGATTTGATTGTGTGAGTATTTGAAACATTTTCCGCACTAACTTAATCCTCTAAGGGGGGTGAGACCAACCCTTGCCATTCCAAATGGAACAGGGGGTCGAGTGATACTTATTTTAAAAGAGCGTTCAATTTTCTTTCAAATAACATCAAATGAAAGAGAATTAAATGCTGTTTTAAAAGAGGTATCACTCCACCCCTTGTTCCATTTGTAATAGTAAGAGTTGGTCCCATCCCGCCTAGAGGGTTGAAGTTGAAGTGATAAAAATGGTAGCAGAATACTTCCCCCTTTGAAAATCGAATAACGTGTACGAGCGATTTTTTGAAAAATAATTGTAGCATCAGATACCTATTTATCCTGTTTCGTTTTAAATGGTACCTTCATATGTTCACCACTGCAAAATGAACAAACTTGTTTATATTTTGATTTTCGTAAGCCGGTCATATCTAATTTGTATTTTGTCTTAAGGTAAGTGTGCCAAATATTGCCACCTCAACGTTTGGAAGTGATTAAATTCTAGGTACCTCTATTAATGAAGGAATACAAATTTGGGAACGAGTAAAGAAATGCATTCTTTAAATCATATTTTTTATTCACCTCAAATAAAAATCAAGATATTGAACGTGTTAGTTGAAGTTAAGAATGGCAATATTAAGATCATAGCTCTCCCTATTCTTGCTACCCTATGTCAAAATTAGGAACTACCTTTGGAACAAAAGATAAAAATAACAAAATTTTCTGACAAAAAAAAAAATTAAACTCAAGAACATTGAGGACAGATAAAGTTTTCTTTGTCATTCTGACACAGGCCTCGTGAACAGCAGACTAGGCACAAGCGCATATTTAGTGATGGCAATATTAGGAACAAATGACGTCCAGAAAAAAAAATCTCTAACTTTGAAATAATTCATATGCAATTTATAAAACAAGAGCCACTGGAATGTACTTCCCTGTACTTAATAACAAAAATCCAGTAAATGTAAATTAAAATTGCGTAGGGTCAACGCGAAATAGTTATTTACATTCCAAGCTGCGAAAGCATACTTTTAGTACGAGGTGTATTCAAATAGCCGAGGCAAAGCGAAGCGCAGCCGAGGCTATTTGAATACCTCCGAGCACCTTAAAGGGCTTTTGCAGAGTGAAATATATCAATCTTTTCATTCTTCCCCTTCAAAAATCGTGAACAGGCATGCGAAAGTGAAACATGCTAGTAGCGAAAGTGAAAGTTACTACTAGCATGTTTCACTTTCACTTTCGCTCGCCTATGCAAAAATCTACTTTCATAAGGGGGAGAATGAAAAGTTAATTTTCTTATAGCGCGGACAGGAAAAACAAATGTCATGTTCCTGACGTCTGACGTTTAGCATAGAGTAAACCGCCGAATAGAAAACAAATCGCTGACAAATCAAAGTACCTGCTGCTGCTGCCACCTACATGCAGCATCGATACTAGCTGAGTAACGAGGGTGACCATATTAGGAACAATGGCAATATTTAGCGTACCTACCTTATTTATCAATATAGATAGATAGATAGATAGATAAGGGAAAAAAAGGGTGGTCTTAAAATTGAGCAGCTTCCTTTTTCAGTTCGGTTTTCGCAGTGATCGACAAGTGAGTTTCCTGAGCATCATCTTTCTACCAGTTTTAAAGTGGTCTGCATAGATTCACGTAGGACGTTTTCGTATTTTCCGTTTTGCAAAATTGTAATATCATCTGCATAAGTACGTGGTGGAATAGAAGCCATAAGCCATATATTTAGTTGAACAACTCTGTTCTTTAACATACATCTGATCCAGCCGTGATAGTAACGCAGTGAGTTAGTTTTGTGACTAGTTCACTAGTTAGGCTTGATATTGTATGTAGTCAAACGATGTTTCAATAGTGCTGGTTCCGTTGTGATTTTTGTATTATTGCCTTGAATAAAAGTAAATTAATTTGGAAAAGTAGTTTGTCTCACTTGTCTGAGAATCCACTTTACGTAATAATATGGAACAGATCGAAGATACACAAGGTCGAAACGTAGAAAAATTCTGAGATTCAAAGTCACCCATATCCGTCTAGACAGGAGCCTAATTATGGCCTTTAGAGGATGGCATGACTTCACCTTCGAAATATTCGGTCCCATTTTTCTAGACCCAAATTTGGGGCCTTCTTTTGCATATACGCTCCTTATTTCGTGAGCAAATCAAATAAACCTAATTTTTTATCACACGGTTTGGGGTTTTGTCCTAATTTTAACAAAAATCGATACTGCCAGACTATCAAATTTCCGATAAAAGCTTCGCAGGTGTAGTAAGTAATTGGATTAGCTTTTTTATCATATTTTTCTAAGTGTATTGTTAATCGTTATTTTATACAAGTCGTCCGGAATAACTTGACGTATATGCGGGGATTTTGGAAACTATTAGAGATACAGGGTGGACCAAGTTGCGCAATCTAGTGCCTACAAATAATCTGTCATCAACTTCTTTGAACTTGGAATAGCAACGTATATACAGGGCATATACAGAAACATTTTTCTTTTTTGCCCTGTATATCCGTTGCTATTCCGAGTGCAAACAAGTTGATAACAGATTATTTGTAGGCACTTGATTGCGCAATTTTTTCCCATTTGGTTCACCCTGTATCTTCAATGGTTTCCCTTCCCCATTTACTTCAAGTTATTCCGGACACCCTGTATTTGGTTTTAGAGAATTTGCTGAGGCATGATGGAACATTTTTTATGAGCAGAATAGTCTACTACTTTTCTTCAGATGTGGTATGAATTTGTCTAAAATTTCAACCAAATATGTGTATTATGCATTATATTTTCTTGTATTTTATTGATTAAGTCCTGTAAGTGTCTAAAAAGTGTATTTATGTGAAAAAACTAAAACAAAAATTCCTATGTGAATAAAATCAAATACATAAATATAATTGGAAATAAATCGACTATGAAATTATTAATACCTTTTACGTCTCCATCGTTTTTTCCTAATTTTAACTAAGGCTCTCTTAAATATTAAATTCATAAAAACTTCTTTTGGGCCAATTCATCCGCGAACCAAATATAATCAACCATGAAATACACTATACGCAAAAGTAACCTACATTTTTAACTAAATTGAAAACTGGATAAAAAGAGGTCGGAGACCGGCACATGGCGTTCCGACCCCGAGCTAGGCTATGCCACAGCGCTATGCGCCCAGCTATTTACCCTGCTAGACTAAACTTTGGAGAAGTCGACCACCCCCCTAGTGGCACGTTGCCCTAGTAAACGGATAGATTTTTGTCTAGGCGCAATAATACACATGCGATCGTTAATTCTTAATCTGATTTTTTGTCTTAGGAGTTCGATTTGGATTTGAGACAGGAAGGTCGATGCTTATCGCAGGATGATATATACAAACCTCGACAGACCGGCATTCTGTTGGACAGTCAAGATAAGATAATTCTTGATGTCAACGATAAAGTAAAACCAGTGGTGCAGCTACATCGAAAGCTTGTTTCAAGAGGAGAGATCGGACATTCCTGAAGAGTATTGTCAAGGAGGACTATAGATATACTAAGTAAGAAAGAAGTCCAACACGCCATTCAGTTATCCAAAAACAAGAAAGCTATGCAGGTCCAGAAGTTGTCTATTCAGAAGTGAAGCTTTTCAATATGGTTTACTGATAGGGCATGAGACGTTTATGAAGAAAAGCTCTGCAAAAAGATGTAGCGATTATCACCTTATTAGCTTGATGATCCACTTTCTCCAGATTTTCCTAAATATCATCAATAAAAGAATATACGTAAAGTGCAAGTCCTTCACGGGCGAATCTCAACTTGGTCTTCGTAACGGTTTTGGTACAAGAGAGACCCTGCTTAGCATCCAATTGCTAGTTCAAAGATGTAGAGAGATGTTTCTGTTCCTGTATAGGTACGCATGCTTCGTAGACTATGAGAAAGCGTTTGACATGGTGCAACATGAGAAGCTTATGAAAATTCTCGAGGATGATAGAGACCTCAAGATAATCGCAAATCTCTACTGGGATCAGACCGCATAAATCAAGGTAGACCAACAAATGTTTGAGGAAGTACGGATAAAAAAAGGTGTCCGGCAGTGTTACATTCTTTCACCATTACTTTTTAATATTTATTGGAAAAAAATATTTAAGAAAGCATTAGAAGACTGCACTAAGGGAATTTTTATCAACGACGTCAACATTAACAATCTTCGGTATACGGACAATAGGTACGGTTTTAATCGCTGAAAGGTCTTCAAATATTACTTGATCATTTGGCTACTGAAAGTGGAGAATTTGGATTAAAATTGAACGCCTAAAAAACGGATGGTGATTGGTAAGAACCAGGTTGGAGGAGGTATTCTTCAGGTACAAGCCAATAGATCGATCTGATCCAATCATATGGATCCAATGGATAACATGCAGAAGGTTCGTGCTAGGATTGAACAAGCCAGAGCATCATTTGTAAAAATGAAGTTCGTGTTCTGTAGTCAGGTCACTCCGCTCTCTGTTCGCACTTGAGTACTACGTTGATACGTCTTCAGTATTCTCTATTATGGGATTGAGGCGTGGACTCTGACAGACGCCATGTGTAAAAAGCCAGAGGCTTCTGAAATATGGACATATAGACGGATGTTAAAAAAATCTTGGATGGACAGAGTCCGCAATGAAGAAAATGTCAAAAGATCTTGAAGTTATGTTTACGCGTAAAAGTGGAAGTTAGAGTACTTCGGACACATACTCAGGAATGACAAATACCTACTTCTCAAGCTCATAATTGAGGGAAAAAACGAAGGCAGAAGAGGACCTATGGTAGTCGAAAAATATCTTGGCTAGAGACAACTAGAGAGAAACCACGACAAGTCTATTCATGCAGAAAATCAGTCGTCAAAGTATACTTTGTATCTACAGATAGTGCTGATGATTGCCAACGTTCGTTGAGGACAAGGCATTTGAAGAAGAGGTAGTGAAATCAATCTGCTGTAAGAAATGAATCATTTTACTGTTAAATATGAATTTATCAAGTGTTCTAATATCACAATTTTCAAACATTAACTGACAGATGGCTTCTAGTTTTGCAGTTCATTATATGTTTTTTTGCAAGACATAAATATCTTTCTTGTATTATAAACGGGAACGTAAAGCCTCCAGCTGTCACCTATAAAAGAAGAAATATCGAGAAATAAACTACGTTAGTCATCGTATTCGTTCGGATTCTATGGGTTTCATGGTGGGTGTTTACGTGGGTGCGGAAACAAAAGGAATTTTTAAAATATAGTACCCCGCGGAATTGCAAAATTAGTAGCCAGTGCATTGATTCACTGAATGGTTATTATTTGTTCAAATATGGCAGATTTATGTTGCCAGTATAGTAGCCAAACATGATCGAACAGTTTATGTTAATTTGATATTTATAGCACTTTAATTCTGTAATAATTGGAATCTTATTTGTCTTTTGCGTTTTAACTTTGTATTGAAATGTATTTTCTTTCAAAATTTCTAGAAATGTATGCAATGCTGCCTCTTTGTATAGGGTACTGATATGAAAAAAAAATCAGTCTAGTAAGCCTGAATACTAAATAAATCAGTGTCTTTCACTCTCTGATATTCATTGAACTTTGAAACCCAAAAACTGTCTGAAACTAAGACTCCTTTTCGAAATTCGACTTTTGATTGTTATATAGGCCCTGGGTCTTGATTGGTGGATCAAAAATGATGGCTCAATTAGGTGCAATATCTCAAAAGAAAGTTGATCGAATGAGCTTCAAAATGGCGTTATTATTGAACTTCGATTTCAAATAGTTTTTGAGCTAAATATGAATTTTGATTATTACAGGCAATTTGCCCTGCAACTTATTCCTGAAAAATAGGTATAATCAATATCTATGAATAAATTATTGTTTATTCAAATATACCCACAAATTCAATAGAAACAACGAAAGATATCAATTTTGCTATGTATATTATGATATCGATTGAGGTGTAAATAATCAATATTCCTACAGCCAAAATATAGTACATAATTTATCTACATAAAAAAAAGTTATAGACAAAAATCGTCTTTTTCCGGACGCTTTATATCGATCATTGAATGTTACAAGGCTATATTGAAATTCAAAAGATAAATGTTTCAAGATACCGGAAAAGGCCATTAGTTGTTCCTTCACAAACACCGACCCTCGTAAAACTCATCGAAATGTTGCGTGTTAGACCCAAATGAAGTATAACTTCGTTAACTTAGTGTTGATATATAATAACGAAAGTTTAGAGTCAATAAAGGAAGCTTTGTGGAAGTGCAATTTCCAATCAATTTTTAGAGGCTTCCATCTGAAAATGATACTGATTGATTCTAGGTATTAATTTTTCACCACTAGATTTTTAGAGTAAATTCAATTGGATTAAAAAATATTTAACTGACGTCATATAATGGATCTTTTGATTGTTATTGAAACAACATTAACTAGCGCAGTCTGACGTAGGTTGGCTCTATGTAATGATAGATGGTAGATAGTAGGTGGTTGACAAAAAAAAACAAGTATTTTTATTCAGCTGAAACGTATTATTAAAAAGTCGTTAGTTTCAATTGAAAAATGTATTAATTTTTATTACATAATTATATTTCGAGTTAAACTAGTTAGGAAGTATTAGGACCTTGAAACCTGGTTAGGATTTTTATTTCTAAGAACATGGCCTTGGTTGGAACAAAAGAACCCAGTGTCATTTTTACACAAAAAAAGAATCTTCAAATTGTTAATGTTTCTAAACTTTATTGTGTGAATAATTTTAAGCGAAGTCATCTAAATAATATGTAAATAATTATAAAATTTCAGCAATGCATGTTTGCACCAATTAATAGGATAGTGACACCGTGTAGTTATTTGCGTGTACCGTAACTGTTACGTGTAAAATGGGTTGAGTCTGATTTAAAAATTACTTGCAGTATTGGACTTTCAATTTTTGATAACTTATAGCGTATAGTTTGTAGATAAAACATTTATATGTTCTGCCTTGGCATCCATTTTCTGAGACCTTTTTGGATTTTATATTATGTTTTCAAGCTTGTTCGAGTTCGAATCATTTATAGTAATTTTGCGTGATGTTATTTGAGTTGCATTTTCACACTAAAAAATCAGACTCCCTTACTGGTTCTAAATAGAAAATCCAGTCACGAAATTCACCATTTAATTACACGGAAATAACATCGAGGAACTGTGTAGCAGTGAAACAAATTTACATTTGATGTGAGAGTTCGTAAGACCTTATTGGAATATGAATGACTAGACATCTCCAGCAAGACATTGTTATATTTTTAATGATGTTCATTTTACTATTGAAAACCATGAATTTTTCTGTGACTTGATAACCTCATTTCTCTGCGATAGCTCAGTAGCCTGGTAAAATTTTACAAGATGCTCTTGACATTTGAATTAGAATTAATGAACCTTTTTTGGATTAATAATAAAGAGATTTCAAGTTGCTGTGCTGTTTTTGTTGATGTTATGGTTATCTCAAGGCAAATGAAGGAAACGTTTTTGGAAAAGCCTTAAGTGTAAAAAACATCTCCAGTCCATGTGAAGGATATTTTTATTTCAAATTAATTATTAGTAACTTTACGTTTTCCTCCGTAAATGAAGAAAAATACATACGAAATCTCACACAGAAAACTCATATTATTATGTGCTCGTTTTAGTATTTAAATGAAAATAAAAAAAATACTGTTATTAATGGTGCCATAAAGATAGCTTTAACGAAGTTTCACTCCATACTGCCCATGGCATACTTGATTGGTCAAGCAATGAAATCTGATTCCGCACCGATATAATCTTACCTATTCGAATTACTATTTTCACGCAAATAATGATACACCTTTTAGTTAAACAACTGGAGTAAATTTATGGTTAATTAGCGAAGTTAACTACTTTGTTTGTTTAATGTGGTTATCTTTTTTAAGTCTAGAGCAAAATGGGGTATAAGGTAACCTAAGAAGATTAAATCAGGAAGTCTTTTCAAGTTTATTTGTAGTAATTGTAGTTACATTTTTGTTGATACTTGATTCTGTTCACAGCAAATACATACATAGAAAAAAAAAACGAAATTCTCCATGAAACCAAAACAGTTATTGTAGATTGAAGCCCTCTATTTCGGGTAAGAACCTTCAAATCATGGTACTTTTTTAGATGTTTTCAATATGTGAAAATTTGAAATGTTAGGAAATTATATTCGTGAGGAAAAGACAATGCACGATCGGTTCGTGATAATATTCAGAAATTCGATCACACTAGAGTGATTCAAGAAACCAAGAATTTACAAGAATACGACTACGAGATAACTAGTGGATTAGTTTGAGCTTAAGGTTTAACGAGATAACGATTCGAATAAATTAGTGGGAATTTCGCTGGAAACAATTAAGCAAACTTGTGTTGAACTGAAACTATTCGTCGTTAATTTCACTAATGGGTGTATATTGAATTTCTTAAATTTTACAAGCGTATATGATATACGCCTTTTAAGGAAGACGCATATTTCTTGTTTCAAAACATACTTACATATTTATATTCAATGCTTAAGCCTAAGTTTTGGATCTTCCTCTATCATGCCTGAGATTTTAGCTATTTATAGGAAGTAAATAAGTTGATTTAATATCTATATCTCAGTGTATCGATTTGCATATTGGTACTGATGGCCGATGGGTCATAAAATATCCACCTACCCGATAACCGATTGGGCCGAGTCCAACTATCATAAAATTGTCACCCTTTTCCTTATTCCGGAACAGGTGAATTTTGTGGCCGAATTCAAGGATCCCGGAGCGAAACACATGTCACTATTAAGTGAATCAAATAATAAACAATCTGTGTGTTAATATGTGGCTTTTCAAATTATGTTTTTGCTTAAATTTTGCATTGCAAGTGTCACATTCAAATGGATGTGTTAGTTTGTGAATCTTTAAATTGGCTTTCCGTTTAAATTTTGATTTGCAAGTGTCACATTCAAAAGGATAAAATATCCGAGTGTGTTGAAATGTGCCTTTGTAAATTTCCTTTTTCTTCAAATTTTGCCTTGCAAGTGTCACATTCAAATGGATAAATACCCGAATGTATTAGTTTGTGTATCTTCAAATCGCGTTTCCGTTTAAATTTTGATTTGCAAATGTCCCATTCAAAAAAATTAAATATCCGAGTGCAAAAGTTACATTTGAAATTCTCCTCATCCGAATGTGTTAATATGGGGCTTGGCAAACTACGTTTGTGTTCAAATTTTGCATTGCATGTGTGACATTTAAAAGGATAAATATCAGAATGTGTTAGTTTGTGTCTCTTCAAACAGTCTTTTCCTTTGAATTTTGCTTTGCAAATGTCACATTCAAAAAGATAACTATCAAAGTCTGTTGATATGTGACTTTTCAAATTACCTTTTTGTTTAAATTTTGCTAATTTAAATTTTTCTTCAAATTTTGCATTGCATATGTTGCATTTAAAATTCTTCTCATTCGAGTGTGTTAATATGTGTGCGTTCAAATCACCTTTTCCTTTAAATATTTTCTTACCAGTGTCACATTTAAAAGCAAAAATATCCGAGAGTGTTGATATGTGACGCTGTAACTCATTTTTTTTTTCCGCTTTGTAAGTGTTACATTCGAAAGAACAAATATCCAAATGTGTTATTAAATGATGTTTCAAATTTGATTTGGTTTTAAATGTAACATTGCAAGTTAACATTAAAACTTCCTAATAACATCTTGTCTTGATAAATTGATGTCACTCGAATGTTCTTTTTCCTTCATACATATTTCTTTATTTGGATCTATTAATTCAATATCTGATTCTCCTATTTCGTTTTTAATGTCATCCTCTATGTATGTAGACTTGGTATTTTTTTTTTTTTTTTCATGGTTTAAAAATCGGGTCTCTTTGAGAAATATGGACAAATTTTTTGATTTTCTAAATAGATAAAGGACTCAATCAATTCAAGATACCTATTCTATGAAAAAATAACATTATTTACTCCGTAATTGAATGTATTTTTTCCGAATTTGAATTTACTTTTTCCGAATTTGAATTTACATTTTCCTAAATAAAAGTTACTTTTTCCGAAATTGAGGTTGAAACGGTGTAGAATGAGAAACTACCTCATGTGAGACCTCCTTTGGAAGGTTTTTTATTTCTCTTTGGAGGCATGCAGAAGCAGATAGAATTACAATAAACACATTATTTGGTCGATGTGTATCGGAGACTTTTATGGCAGATTTTTTTTGTTTAGAGATAGTCAAAATTACTTCACCATGTCCAACAGTATTTTAGAAAGCTTCAATTGTATTTTAGAATAGTCATTTGCTCATTTGTATTTAAGAAATCCCCCATGAATAATGGAATACATTTCTTAAATACAAATGACTATTCTGAAATACAATTGAAGCTTTCTAAAATACTGTTGGAAATGATGTATTTTTCAAAAATGTTCGTACGATTCAAGATTTCGGTAAAGGGAAAGCAGCGAGCTATCGAACGATGTGCAACACAAGGCATAGGTTTGTATTTAAAAAAAATAAGTTAGGATAGCTACCCCCTAAGGGGTGAGGCTCAAAAAGTCCCTCATTTTGGTTCCCCCTCCAATCCCACAATACGTATTTGAGATCTTCCTGATAGTATTTTTTGTCTAAGAGATATTGCCGATTGCTACTTTTCAAATTGTCACCCTGTATACCTAAGTATCTCCGAATTGGTGATTTTTTAGACAAAAAGAATGTTTTAAGTTTTTTTATATAAATATTTATTTATGATGATTATTTAGATTGAAGTGCCTTTTATTGCAATCAATGCAGGGTGATACTGATCAACAGGCAACCGTTGCCTGTTGATCAATATCACCCTGCATTGTTTGCAATAATATTTGACTGATAATGAATGTTGTGTATGTAAGCAGTTAACAAATACAAAAGCAAATTTTAACCTTATGTATAGTTCCATTTTAAATCTCTTTATGTACGTACTTGTGTTGATGAGGTGCTAAGTAAGTGCTATGATATTATGCAAGCCATATTTATTACATGTGTTCCTTTGTCAACACAACTTGGTCGAACATTTCTTGTTTGGTATAATGGGGAAATCATAAAACTACTAAAACAAAAGGAAACCTATTTTAGAAAGTTCAAATCCACCAACTCTTCTTACTGGCAAAGTGAATATAGGAATATTAGAACTTTAATTAAAAAGACAATTAAATTGACCTATACTAAATACTTTAATAGAGTAGAAGAGAGTCTGGATGAGAATCCAAGGCATTTCTGGTCCTATATCAAGGAACAAAAGGACGACTCAGATATTCCTGCTGAAGTAAATTACAATAATATCCTGTTCTCTGGTACAAAGAATATTGCAGACGCGTTCGCAGTGTTTTTTAGTAGCGTTTTTGCCCCTGCAGAGTCTCTCGAATGCTTCAGTCTCGAATAGTTTTTGAGCTACGTTGTTTTGAAGTTCAATCTTTAATTTTAATTTTGATTATTACAGGCTCTTGATTGGCCAAACGAAAAAAATGCCAATACTTTGTATAGCACCTCGAAATAAAGCTGATTAAATGAGCTTCAAAATTGCGTTGAAATTGAGCCTTGAAGTCTGGATATAGTGAACTCGAAAAGTGCATCAAAACTGGTTCACTATATATCCGAGGTTCACTCAATGGTCTCGTGAGAAATTTTTAAGGGAATTTGGAAAATCGTTTGTTATAACCGTTCATCATTCACTTTGAATCGGTTTGCTATATCTGAATTCCATTGTATAATCAATATCTATAAATAAATACCTGTTTATTTAAAAGAAACCTCACGAAACTGTTCGTTGTTGGTGGACCCGCGAAATTCTTGGCATTTTGGTGTCAGAAGCGAAATGTTGTGGGAAAATATTGTGTATAATAACGGAAAAGATTTGATAAAACCTATAAAACAGAAAAACATCAATCCATGACTTCCCAGCTAGAGTTTGATCTAAGTCTGAGTTGATTTATAATTTTTATACTTTTATATTCCTTTTTGGCTTTACAATTATTGATAGAAGATGAACAATTCAAATACCATTTTTAATATTTCAGGAAATGCACTCATGCTGTTACATGGCAAAATTATTCTAATAAGGCTACCTACTACTATTGTTGAAGGCTATCAAAGCGTGTCTCCGCGCGAGCCAATTAAAAAACTGTGTTTATCAAATCCAATTTAATGCTAATTTAAGTACTCAAGAGAGCAGATACAGTTAAAAAAAGAAAACGCCATTTATAGGCAAAATCATCGTTACTAATTATTGAATCGTTTTTCATACAAAAACGAACGCATACAATGCTAACAGCAGCGACCAAACTCGTGTTCGGCATCCGATAAATTAATTATTTCCAATGACCCAGTTAATGGATTTGAGCTCTTAAATAAACATCAATTACCATGTATGTCTGATGCATGTTCTGGTCAATGTTAAATTCCAAGAAGTGGATTTACTTGAAGTATGTCTCGAAAATGACAAAGTGCATCCATTACATAATTATCAATTTAGAAGACATGCTTTTAATTTTTTTTGAAAGTTTCTATTCCAGAAGCATTAGAAATATCTTTATACTAAAAAGTCTTCTTTAAACTTGTCATAGCTCTATTCCCTATTAGACAAAACTAATTTTTTCCTTGAAACAGATGTTTAAAGCTTTATCATTCTTATCATAATTTCACATAATATATTTTAGAAAAAATCTGACCTAATTTAGGTTTTTGGCCATAACCAATAAAGGTACCGGTTGGGCATCTATACTGGACCACCCAACGGTACTACTTTAAGGCGACATTGGGCGGTCCATAAATGGTCAGGACAAGCGATGACCTCTCAAGTCCATAATAATAAATACGGCCATGTATTCGTAGAATAAATTTCGCAGAGGATAACCTTCTTTCGAAGATTATTATTTGTATATGGTACTTTTTATGTAGGAGATTTTTGAAAGCAATATAATTATCTACACTACAGGGTGGTAATTTATCTGGCTTTAAATTTTAGAACAATTGGTGATTTATCGAGAAAGCAACCAATAGGAATTTAAACTATTTATTTTATTATATTTTTCTCTAAATATTGATGAAAGTAATATTTAGCTTTACGCAGATGATCAGGTGATTATAAAGAATTGAAAAATTGTAGAAAATGTTGAAATGCAAATCAACTCTCATTTTGGACATTTTGTCATGATATTGCCATCTTTTGGGGCCAAATTAGATCATTTTTTTGTTTTTAATGCAATTTTGAACCAAATATATGTTAAATATAATAATGTGTAGGATATGGAAATTCACTTAGTTTTACCCCACACATTTTATTGTTTTACCTGTTTTTGTAGTGACGTTTTAAGGATAGTGAATTAGGCCTAAATGTAAATACCCAAGTAAATACCAGAACATGTTTTGTATCTGGCAGCCCACAACATTTTCAAGCACAGTTTCCACAAAGAAGGGAAAATATTAGAGGCAGAGAAATTCACAGGGGTTTTAGAGGGATGTATAGAGGATTAATGGCCGTTTGCACCAACCATTTGAAGGGAGGTTACGTTGATTATCGTTAAATCCCCCTTAAAGTGTTCTGTGCAAACAACTATTAGAGGTAATTACAGAGGACGCCCTCATGAAAAATAGAAGGAGAATGAAGAAAGAAAGTATCAGGCAAACACAGCTGAAGAAGACGTGATGCTATATGCTGCAAACTATTGCAGTGAAATTAACGGCAAATTGAGTTTTGTATATTGGACTCAGGTGCGAGTAATCACTTTGTGGAGGAAAGTCTAGAAGCCAAAATATTTGACATAAAGGTGCTACCAAACTATGTACCAATACATATAACAAATAGAGAAATTCTTAAATCCAATAAGATTGGAACCCTAAAAGCACAATGCCAAGGTACCACACTCTCAATTTAAGCATTAATTGTGCCAAAAATGAAACACAATTTACTTTCCGCCTCAAAACTGACCTCAATAGGGCATAAGATTATTGTGGAAAGAAGTAGAACGACCATAAGTGGAAGAAATTTTTTTCGTTACAGTGTGAAGTTAAAAAGGGACTCCTATGTTAGCAGTGGACAGAATAATTGAACCCCTTGCTTACCAGTGCCATATTTCAATTGATAAGGACTCATGGCATAGAGGATTGAGTCATGCAGATCATGACGCACTCATGTAACTAGGTTTATCAAAATCTGATAGAATATGCAACAGTCAGCAGTTATCTGGAAGGAAAGGCAACAAGGTGTCCATTTAATGAGAATAAGAGAACCTCGACTCTTATGGGAGATCTGGTACATAGTGATGTTTGCAAACCAATCAATCCAGCTACTATACATGGTACCTACTTCCAAACTATATTATATGACTTTTCACATGTTTTAGTGATAAAAATATTAAAAACTAATTCAATATGTAAAAGACCTTGAAATACAGCAGCAGGTTAAGGATAAAGCATTTAGACAAGATAATGGACTAGAATTTGTGTCGAGTAGTTTTAGGAATTTTTGTAAGAAGAATGGTATGACTTTGGAGTATACCATGCCATATACCCCCAAGAGAATGGAAAAGCTGAACGATTGAATAGAACTCTATTGGATAAAATAAGAACCAAGATTATAGATTCGGATATTCCATGGGATGAGGCGCTAAAATGTTCTGTGTGACTAAATAGAATTCCAACTAGAGCTTTACCTAGGGGAGTAACACCCTCGACAATTTGTCATGGACGAAATGATCTGAGTAAGCTCAAGATTTTTGGGTGTCGAGCCTGGTTTACAATTCTACCAAAAGGTAATAAGTTAGATGCTAAGGCAAAGCAGGCTGGTATAGTGGGATATTGTGGTGGTGGCTACAGATTGTGGTTACTAAATGAGCAGAAAATAGTGGGATCCAGAAACGTAAGATTTGATGGAGTACAAGAAAAGCCATAAGAAGATAGGGATAGAAAGTGGGCCAAAGGAAAAAGGAAAACAGCCAAACTACTTACCTGATAAAGAGGAAGAAAGAGAAGAGGGAGAAGAGATAAGGAGAAAATTATAGTGAAGAGATACAAGAAGAGAGACCTGTTCAAAAGACCAATAATATACAAGGATGCAATGGAAATTCGAGTAGTGATGCGAAAGGAAAACATATGTTATGGAATAAAACGACTATATAGCAAGACATGGAAGTGCCTATTGTTTGCTCACAGCAAATCCAGATGCGCCCAAGAGTTATGCAGAAGCCTGTAAAACTGCAGAATGGAGAGAAGCCATAGAGAAAGAAATTAAATCTCAGGAAAACTCTAAAACTTGGATTCCAGCAGAACTTCCTGAATGTCAAACAGCTATAGACACGAAGTGGAATTTTGAAATAAAAGAAGATGGTACAAAAAAAGCAAGATTGGTGGCAAGAGGTTTCCAAGTATCATATAATGAAAGTGATGAATTCATTTATACCCCAGTGTATAGATTAGCTACAATAAGACTACTTATATCAGTGTTTTTACAGAATGGTTGATGTTCCTACTGCATTTCTAAATGGATTCCTAGAAAATTATGTGTACCTTAAAGCACCTGAAGGAATGCGCCCAAATGTTGGAACATGAAGTTTAATCAAGCCATGACAAGTTTAAATTTTCGAAGATCACAATATACTTGTTTCGGGAATTCAAAGTCAAATCAATGTATGAAGTGAAAACATTTCTTGGAATGGATGTGATGAGGAGTAAAAATGTTATTCACATTAGAATGGACGAAACTCGGTCATTTGCCACTTCAATGGAAGTCAATTTTCAAATGGCTATAAATGCTACACTACAAGATAATGTTCCATATCGAAGATTGGTATGTATCTATCTTTAGTGACCAGACCTACCTGATTTGTTGCTTATTTGTCTCGATTTTTGGATAAACCCACTTGCACTCCATGTGCATGAAAAAAGTAGCTAAGGGAATTCTTCGGTATTTAACTCGGTATCTAAGCTTTACTATTGACTATGGATGGTACTATGAAAAGAAATCGTATTATACTGTATGGCAATTTAAACTGTATTAAGCGAAGCATGTGAATTTGTTAATACACCTAAATTGAGGTGTGTTGGATATATTAATGTGTAGGATATGGAAATTCACTAAGTTTTTCCACACATATTATTGTTTTACCTGTACTTTACCTGTTTTTGTAGTGACCTTAATTTCTGATAGGTTGCCTCAAGAATTTAGTACATCTACGAAATCATCTGTATCGCTATTTGTTTCAATTTATGTTCCTTATATCAGTTAACCAATAATATACCCAAATTTGCTTCAAAAACATTTTCAAAAAATATTTACTACCTACTTAATTAACTAGAACCAGAACCAGAACAACACCTAGTAAAAAACTACTGAATAAACCCCTGTACTGTAGTTTATTGCTAATTATTTTCGATATGAGGCATGATTAATAAAGAAAAATACATACTAATTTATCATCATTAAACGAAGATATAATGCACCTATTATTGCATTTTAAATAGTAAACTCCTGATTCACTTTTTATCATCATTCAATCTTCTACATTTAATGTTATCATTATCCAGCCAAATGAAGCTGTTTTTTTTTTAAAACTAACCATTTATACAATTATTTGAATATTTGTATCATTATAATTATTGTTAATTTGACTTTGCTACTGCTGCTTTTTTTGAGGCATTTTATCAATGCAAATACATAAATCCTTTAATAAGTCAAGGTTATCAACCTTTATCATTAAAACTGTTCCAAATAATAACACTGTGCCAAAAAATCTTCCAAATATAAACAAACTATTTCCATGACAGACATAAATAGGCAAATAATTATGTAATTACAAATTTTTAAAAATAGAATCTCAATTATTCATTATAGAAATTGGTAACAAAACAGAATCAAAATTTACAAGCTGCACATTATTATGGCTATCATTTTCTATTAAGGCGTGATCTGGAGTCTAATCAGAAAGTCCGAGTCGTGTTTATTTATTCAATTAGCGACTATAAAAGTTGTTTCGCAACCGACTTAAATGAACCAATACATCTTATGTGGTCGCGCCGGTGATTGTATAAAAATGTCATGACGTGATAGGTTATTTTCATTTAAAACATTCTTTATTAGATCAAGAGATTTTTTGTTAGCATGAATAACATTATTGTTATGATTATCTTCAAAAAGTGGAGTGGATTTTGAACCACTTGAGTAGCTGGAAGTATAATGACTATTATGACTAATAGTTTTATCGACAACGTCGTTGTAACTTCAATGAAATCATGCAGTCATGCTGTATAATGTGAAATATGACTAGCAATTTCTCAGCAACGTTGTAACAACGTTTAAAATGCGTTCTTCATGGATGATACAGTGTTTACTGACCAAACTAACAATATTATTGTGACTTGTAGGAGGTTGGCTGAGGCTGATTCTGAATGAGTGTTATATCAGTATCTATACCTGTCACAAAAGCATTTCCACGAATTCATAATGACACTGAGAGCTATATTGAAGCTGATAATGAAATTCTATTAGTGTGATGAAACTCATTTAGATTAGTTTTATCCCACATTAGAGAAATCAGCAGGATAAGAAGCTCTTATCGACCTGTCGTAAATGGAGGTACTTGAAGCCTCATTTTCCGAATAGCTAGATAAATTTAGGGTCAAAATAAATTGTTTCAATTGATGGTGTCACCAAAATATGTTGCAATGGTCTGAAAGTTTTCTAATGGCAAATGCAAGATTCCAGTATTTATGAGCTCGAAATCTATAGATTTGCATCAAAATATTATTCAGAATTTGTTGCTATGATCTGATATACGAGGTTTGAAAGTTTTCCAATGGCAAATGAAAGATTTAAGTCTTCACTCTTCTCATCATAGTCATAACTTCTAGACGAATGAAGCCAGCGAATTTTTGTAAATTTACAATACAGCTTGAAATCTACAGATGTGCATCAAAATATTCATCATAATTTGTTGCAAGTTTTTGCAATACGAGGTTTGGAAGTTTTCTAATGGCAAATGTAAGATTTTCGTCTTTATTTTATTTTATATGGTTGTGGTGTATTGTGTCTGTGTTGTTGCGTTTTGGTAGAACTGTGAAAGTGAATAGTTGTTTTAGACATTGATTAGTTACTTTTATTTTTGTAGGTTTATATGTTTGGGGTGCCATTGTTGGCCAGGTGGGAACAGTAATGTCATAACTGACAGTTGAGAAGAAATTTGATATAACTATTGTCAAGGGGTTTAATTGGGAATTCGAGAGTCTAATTCAGTGTTAGTAAAGTAGTTTAAAGTTGAGGTGTTGTATTATTTACAACCCAGGCGTCCCAGGCTGCAGACCTGTCATTTTGGCGACGAGAATGGGATACCAGTGACCAAAAATAGGACAGAAGTTAAAGTAAGACCTACGGTGACAACGAACAATGGCTTCGTACGGAAACATCGAACAGTTCAACGTAAACGAACCAAAGGGTAGGGAGTCCTACGTCAAACGTATGGTTTTCTATTTTTCGGCCAACGATATTATTGATAAAACTTAGAAATTAGCAATTTTCCTTAGTTTGTGTGGACCTCACATTTTCGAAATCCTGAGGTATTTGCTTGTGTCGGATAGGGTGTCAGGAAAAACATACAAGGACATTATCAAGATATTGTCGGAGCATTTTACGCCACGTACATCGGAAACTGTAAACCGTTTCAAGTTTTATCGTCGAGATCAACTTAATGGGGAGTCATTTTCAATATATTTGAAAGAATTACGGCATCTGGCAGAATCGTGTGGCTTCGACACCAGTTTAGAGACTATGTTGCGTGACCGAATCGTATGCGGAGTTACCGACGAAATGCTGCAAAGGAAACTGCTGGCAGAAGATAAGTTGAGATTCAAGAAAACTAAAGATATGTGTCTTGCTGACGAGGTCGCTGCACAGAGCCTGGCGATGTTGAAAGAAACTGAAACGAACCCGACCAGCGAAGTACATGAGGTTCAGGCAGCAGAAAAATGATTCGGAAAGTGTTTGACTCTAACGGTGCGAACTATGGGTTTACATTAAGTAATGTGAGTTGTGACAATTTTTCTGGCAAGTAGGTACTTAGCCGAAGTTACGGTAAATGGGACTAAAATTTGTATGGAAGTAGATTCGGGAGCCGGGTACTCTGTGGTCGGTTAAGAAGCTTCCAAAAGAATTTTGGACGACAATCCTCCGTTGATAAAATCCACCAATATTATTCTACGGGACTATTCCTACGAGGGTTGAGTGTTTAGTAACTGTTAAACTAGGACAGGAAGCCAGGCTACCCCTCATAATTACCCAGGAAAACCGAGCAAGATTGCTTGGCCGAAATTGGTTTGAAGGTTTGGTTTTATCCATCATAGAGGTGAGTCAAATTTATTCTTTGTCCAACTATGTCCAGGAATACCCTGAAGTATTCGCTGAAAAGTTAGGATCGAGAGGGAAATCACCTAGGAATTTTAGTGTACACGCGCAAAGAATTGCGAAGAATTTCAAAAAATTGCAAGGAACTTTGAGGAGTTGCTAGGAATTTCGAGGAATTGCGAGGATTTTCTAGGAGTTGCGAGGAATTTCAAGGAATTTCGAGGAATTTCAAGGGTTTGCGTTGAATTTTTATCACTTTGAACCTAGAAAAAATGTTCAGTGTTGCCAAACGTTGTCCAGCATAAAAAGGTAAAGTACCTGGGTATCATTTTATAACTGTTCCAGACAGAATACCGAAAGCCATGATTATATACTTTATATGTAAGCCAAAAAAATACTTTGCTTTGGTATTTATCACACATTGTGTTCATAAAATGAAGATTTTTTTTTTAATCCTCGTTCAATTCTACACCAGTGATACATCTATTGTGTAATTAAAGATTTAGCTTATGCTCAAAATACAGTGATACACTCTCGGATACACTTTTATAGGTACATACATTCATCTCAAAGTGCTTAAACCCCGTTCCCTTGCTCTCTTAGTTTGCCAAAGTCTGGCAACGTTGCATCGCTAGTCATTTTTCATGAACTCTAACCTCAAAACCAGACCAGACTTGCTTTTCCGTTGAAGGGCAGCTTATTTAAGGAATTTGAGGTATCATCAAAAATTGTTGTACACAAAAACTTAACAACACTGTAAAAACATTTTATTAACGTGTCATTCCTCGAAACTCTCATAGATGTTGCAACCAAAAACAGTAAAAATACACAGAATATACAGGGTTTTCACTTAGTGCGATATCGGACGATATCTTCTTACAGGGTGATGCAAGAAAAAAAAATTAATTTACAAAGTTCTTTGATACTCTACGAAGGCGTAGAAGGGACACGTATATATTTTTTATTTTCTCAACCATATTTCTGTGTTACGTAACGCGGAAATAGTTATTTCTGCGTTACGTAACGCAGAAATCACTTTGTATATAAAAAAATATATATACGTGTCCCTTCTACGCCTTCGTAATACTCTAATATGCATTAGTTAAAAATATTTTTGAATATGCAGGGTGCTCCGTTTATGGGGTATGCGACTAAACTTTGGTTTTTTAAATGGAACACCCTATATGTCATTGCATATTTGGATTATACGTAGAATTCTGAGCAGATTTTATGTAATATACTCTATACCAAAGTTCAACGGTTTTAAAAATATTGACAGTTGAAAATTGATTTTTGGCAAATTTAATCTCCGGTTAAATTCAAAGTTGATGTCAAATGATAATTTATGGAAATCTAAGATAGGAATGTAAAATCAATTTTCGTCTAAAGTTAACCGTTTAGGTTTTACAGCCTGTCAAAGTTACAAAAAGTCAATTTTCAACTGTCAATATTTCCAAAACAGTTGAACTTAGGTATAGTGTATATTACATGAAATCTGCTCAGAATTTCACGTAGAATCCAAATCTGCAATCACATACAGGGTGTTCCATTCAGAATAACAAAATTCTGTTGCATAACCCATAAACAAAGCACGCTGTATATTCAAAAATATTTTTAACTTATGCCTATTAGAGTATCAAACAACTTTGTAATTCAATTTTTTTTTTTGCATCACCCTGTAAGGAGATATCGTCCGATATCGCACTAAGTGGACACCAATATGACGATAATTTCGAAAAATTTGCTTTGTATTTGTTTTACTCAGGAGGCAAACTACTTTATGAAACCTTACACAGTAACATGAACAATATTCTACAATCCCTATCAACATTATACAGATATAAAAACAAAATTAAATCCACAATAAAGCTACCCATGGGCAAGTTTCAAGCAACAGTTAACCACATGAATATTCTTATTGAACAGAAGTCAAAAAATCAACATTTGCTTACAAAATCGGATGTTATATGTAGTTTAAAATTTATTTTGTTTCAATTTAAGTACAGGGTGATCTATTATAATTGTCACCCCCTTCTAACTTTTTCATTTGACATTTTTGACAATAGTGTCAAACACAAAAGTTTCAAGAATTTGTCCAAAGTTTTCAACTAAGTCAGTTTAAGGCATACAGGGTGCGCCAAAAAAGTGCAGCAATGTGAAGTTTAATTTCTTTAAGTGGAACACCCTGTATATTGTGCGCTTATTTGTTAGTCCCTTTTAACCTGATTTCAACGATATACGGTTTGATATGTCTATCTTCAATAGTTATAGGGAAAAACATGAAAACCCCTTTCAAGGTTTTATATTGAAAAAAGAAAAATTATGACATTGAAGCCTTAGAGAATTTTTTTTATAGACAGTTTATTGTTCAAATTTCATTCATCAATATACAAGGTGATATATAATAATAAATCGAGATGTCTAAGTTATTATTATTATTTTTAAAAAAATAACATGAAAGACCTAGGAAGGAATTTTCGCATTTTTCCCTATAACTATTGGAGGTAAACCGAGAGATAAACATATCAAACCATTTATCGTTGAAATCAGGTTAAAGGAAACTAACAAATAAGCGCAGATTATACAGGGTGTTCAATTTAAAAAAATATAACTTCACACTGCTGCAAATTTTTGATGCACTCTGTATACCTAAAACTGACTTATGGCGTTTCTTCTACAGGTCGATTAAAAGGATGCAAATACACTCAGTGCGCACTGAATCTACCAATAGAAAACGCCATTAGTCAAAAACGTCAAATGAAAAAGTAAGCAGGGGGTGACATTTATAATAGATCACCCTGTACCCAATAATTGATAAACGACCTGACATACATTGTACTTTTCAACAGAATTACAATAATTAAATAATTTAAACATATTAATCTATATTTAATTGCAAAAAGGTTATTCAAACATAAAATTATTTGTCCAAGAGTTGCGAGGAATTGGAAGGAATTGGAGGAAATTGCGAGGAATTGGCAGGAGTTGTAAGGAATTGCAGGGAATTGCCAGGAATTGTGTGCAATTTGCCGGGAATTGTGTGGAATTATAAGGAATTGCACGGAATTTCAAGGAATTTCCATTCAGAGGAATTTCAGTGTACAAAATTTTATGGGTGACTTCCCCCTCGGTTAGGATCCTACAGGGGACCTCCAGTTAGTTTTTTCCTGGATTCAAATTTAAAGCCGATCATTTTAAAAGCTCGAAAAATGCCATTTGCATTAAAGGAAAAATTGATATGGAACTAGATAGACTAATAATAGGTGCTCTGGAGCCAACTAATTATGCTAAATGGTGTACTCCAATAGTAGTATTTTGCAAACATAACGGAGAAGTTCGAATTTGTGGGGACTGTCGTAGTACATTGAATCGTGCCCTGCAGACAGAGCCTTATGCAGTGCCCTCTGTTCAAAGTATATTATCAGTGCTAGCAGGAGGTAAAATATTTTACCTACGAGCGTACGGTAAAGTACACTTTACCGCACGTATTTGCAAATGGAAAGTATCACTTTACCGCACACTATGCGGTAAAGTGGTAAAGTTAACTTTACAGCATAGTATGCGGTAAAGTGGACTACAAAGTGTGCGGTAAAGTGCACTTTACCGCATAGTGTGCGGTAAAGTAAAATTTGATATTTTAAATCAGAAATCCTCTCTTTTTCAGAAAATGGATTTTTGATCATTTCTATATCTAATCTAATTTCATTAATTAATCTGATTCAATAATTAATTTTATCAATGCCTTTTTTTAGAGATGTAGATGCTCATAGGTAAAATTTTGTACCTAACACATGCGGAAAGTGCCTTTACCGCCCTTAACAGCTTGACCGAACTCCGCTCCGCGTCGTTCGGTCAACTGCCGTTGCGTGCGGTAAAGTATCACTTTCCGCATTTGTTAGGTAAATAACTATTCTAAATTGGACATGGCACAGGCCTATTTACAGTTGAGCGTCGATCATGAATCTGCCAAAGCACAGACGATAATTACCCACAAAGGTGCATTTAAATGTAATCGTTCACAGTTTGGTATCTCAGTAGTCCCACAAATTTTCCAACGTTTCATAGACATGCGACTAGCAGGAATTCCAGGTGTGCTGCCATATTATGACGATATACTAGTTGTCGGACAATCAGAAGCTGATTTAGGGCGGGTATTATAAAACTACTTTGAGAGTTAACTTAAAGTTAACTTCTGGAATTACATGTAATTCAAAAAGTTAACTTCAAGTTAACTGTCAAAGCAGTTTTATAATACCTGCCCTTAGATAGTAAAGTGCGCGCAGTGCTTTCACGTTTTAGGGAAGATGGACTTAATTTACGCAAAGACAAATGGGTGTTTAATACCAAGTCAATAGATTTTCTAGGATATCGAATAAGTGGAGATGGTATTCGGCCCACTAAAAAGAAAATCCAGGCGATAGCTAATGCCCCGGCCTCTAAGAATAAGACTGAGCTACAGGCTTTCCTTGGACTTTTTAATTTTTATCATGTTTTCCTTAAAGAGCAACTATAGCAAACCCATTGCATTGCCTTCTGAGGAAAGAATCGCAATGGCAGTGGCCAGTTTTAACACATTATACAGATAAGAAGACCACATTTTAACATGTGACGCCATGCCAGTCCCTATGGCGTGAGCCGTATGTTGAGTCAGCCAAATGATGATAGGAGCACAGCGAGAATAAGTTTATGTGCCAGGTTCCAAGATTCGAAATGCAGATGCTCTGAGCATACTACCTTTAAATATTAATACTCCAGACGCCCAGCGGCAGATGAGGTCCTGATGCTAGAAAACATCCCAGAAATTTTTTCCTGCGCTAAAGACACTGCCCTAGAAACTAGGAAAGATCCAGTTTTGTCAAGAGTTTTACAGTGGGCATGGAAAGGTTGGCCAGAAAACCAGAAGGGATTTACGCCAGAGTATACACCTTTTTTGCAACGGAAAAATGAAATAACCTGCTATCAGGATTGCTTATTGTGGGGCACTAGAGTTATAATTCCACCAGGGGGAAGGGAGAGAGTTCTCAAAATACTTCACACTGCTCATCCTAACATAGTGAAAATGAAGGCACTAGCACTGTCATACGTCTGGTGGCCTATCATGGACATGCAAATTGAGGATTTAGTGAATAGGTGTGCTGAGTGTCAAGAGTCAAGAAACATGCCTAAAAAATCGTCAGTACACCCTTGGGAATGGGGCCCGTGGATTCGAATACATCTTGATTTTGCCGGCCCAATAAACGGAAATATTTTCTTAATTGTGGTCGATGCCTTCTCAAAGGGGTTAGAAGTAAGGCTAGTACCTAGTACCTCCAGTGCATTGACGATTACAGTGCTGCGGGAATATTTTGCCACACATGGCATACCGGATAACGTTGTTTCGGATAATGGGAACAGCGTTTACTTCTGTAGATTTTCAAGAATTCCTTAAAAAAAACAAATTAGACAAGCTCTAGTAGCATCTTACCATCCCAGTAGTAATGGTCAGGCAGAAAGGATGGTGCAGAATGTTAAAATTGCAATGACTGGTACCAATGTACAACTGGCCCTATTCCGATATTTATTGAACCAACTCATAACTCCGCATAGTTTAACAGGTAGATCTCCAGCAGAAATACTAATGGGCCGTAGATTATCTATTCTACTTGATAAATTACAACCAGATTTTCGTAGGGAGATAATGACTAAACAAGAACACAAGCAACATACAGAACAAGGGAAAAAGACCAGGTTTTTCAATGATAATAATCCAGTCTATGTAGGATCATTTGCAACGGGTCAGAAATGGTTGCCATCAACGATTATTGAAACAGCAGGTCCGCTGAGCTACAAGGCCAAACAACGGAAGGAAAAATCATGCGAAGACATTCTGACCAAATCCGTTCCCGAGTTTCGGATGGGTTGAAATCAGACTTATGTAATGGCGAGTTCTCAGGAGAGTTAACTACAGAGACTTTACCACAGATGGAACCAGAAATCTCTGATGTGAGGGTGCCAATTGTTCATACGCCACCGTCTATGAGAGTCAGGCGGCCCCCCAAATCCCTAGAAGAGTATGCTTCGTAAAAATATCCAGGGGGAGGAGTGTGGTGTATTGTGTCTGTGTTGTTGCGTTTCGCTAGAACTGCGAAAGTGAATAGTTGTTTTAGACATTGATTAGTTACTTTTATTTTTGTAGGTTTATATGTTTTGGGTGCCATTGTTGGCCAGGTGGAAAAAGTAATGTCGTAACTGACAGTTGACTAATTCAGTGATAGTAATAGTATATTACATGAGGAGGTGGAAAGTGTTTCATTATTGTCGAGAGATACTATGGTTGACCGAGCTGCGAAGCACCGAGGTCAACCAATTCTCGAGAAAATATATGTGAAAAGTTTCCACCGAAATATGTACCTATACTATTTTATTTTGAACCATCAATTATTGAAAAAAAAATAAGGTAAAAGTATGACAAAAATGGAATTTCAACTGACATTCTGATACCGACATTGACATCTTATGGAATTTCAACAATACAAACACATGTGACATCTACTTCTAAATAGAAACATATTATTGCACCTGGATTTGTGAAGGTGCGAAAGAACAATTTAGCAGGCCGAAAGTGACTTCTCCAGGCCGAAAGTGACAGGAGGACTGTCACTTTCGGCCTGCTTTAAAGTAAACAAAAGTAAAATGACATTTTCGAACCTTCAAACCAGTAAGAAATGTGAAAATTACATATATGGTTCAAAATATAGTTTTTCTCCGAATGACAGTAAAAGCTGCCTTTGAATGACACTTGACAGGATCAAAAGTTGTATTTTTACTGCCTAGGCAGTAAAAGTGGACTTTTACTGCCAAGGGATTAAAAGTGACAGTATCACAACGTTTCAGGTAATAATTTTACTCAATTTGGTATTTGAAATTGATGGTGACAATGATAATTGTCAAAATAATTTAATTATTTGGATAATATCTAATAATGAATGAAATAAATATAAAAAAGATGTCCATGTGTAGAATTTGAGCATTCGGAGAAAAAATTATATCTTTTACATGGCAGAAAAGCAGATTTAATACCTCCGCTGGTTTCCTAGCCTCGGCTATGAAACACCAGCCGCGGCATTAAATCTTGTAATTTTCTGCCTAGTAAAACAAAAATAACTATTAAAGTTGAGCTGTTGTATTAATTATGTACAACCCAGGCTGCAGACCTGTCAATGGTCATAACTTCTAAGCGAATCAAGCCAGCGAGTTTTTGTTAATTCATAATTGTAGATCAGCTCAAAATCTACAGATTTGCATCAAAACATTAGTAATAATTAGTTGTTATGGTCTGAAATACGAGGTTAGAAAGTTTTTTAATGGCAAATGAAAGATTTAAGTCTTGACTCTCTTTAAAATAATCAGAACAGTTCAAAATCTACAGATTTGCAGAAAAATATGAATTAGAATTTGTGCTATGGTCTAAGATACGAGGTTTGAAACTTTAAAATGGCAAATGTAAGATTTTAGTTTTCATTCTTCTTAAAACAGTCATAACTTCTTAACGAATTAGGCCAGCGAGTTTTTGTTAATTTACAATTGTAGATCAGCTCAAAATCTACAGATTTGCATCAAAATATTAATCAGAATTTGTTACAATGGTCCGAGATACGAGATTTAAAAGTTTTCTAATGGCAAATGTATAGTTTCATCGACAAGATAGTCGCAACTTTACTGAAATCTAAATAGCTTAATAATTTTTAGTCATTTTAACGTCGCTAAAACGTGAAATATGACTATCAATTTTTCAGCAACATTGTGACAATGTTTAAGATATGTTTTTATTTATCAAAGTTAGAATAATATTGTGACTTGCAGGAGCTTGGACGAGGCTGATTAACAAAAATTTGCTTGTGTATGCTATCCTCTGATGCTATCATTAAACCTGTCACAGAAACATTTCTACGAATTCATAATGACACTGAGTGCTATAATGAAGCTCATAATGGAACCCTATTAGTGGGATAAAACTCATTTAGATTGGATTTGTCCAACATTGGAGAAAACAGCAGGATAAGAAACTCTTATCAACCTGTCGTAAAAGAAGGTACTTAAAGCTTCATTTTTCGAATAGCTAGATAAATCTATAGGGCCAAAATAAAGCAGAAACAGGGAATATTATCATTTAAAAAAAATCGTTTTATTTGATGGTGTCACGTACCATGTATTAAAATCACATTGGAACGTGATACCACTATAGATATTTTCATATCTTGACAATAGTAATGATTTATTTTTAAGCTCTCCTTATAAGTTTGATTTGTGAGAGTTTTTCAACGTAAATTCGACTGCCTGTTATGGAATGTTTGGGAAAAATAACTGTTCTTAGTAGAGCTTGATTCACATTCACATTCATTGTTAAATATTCACCTACTTACTAGCAAAATCGTTCCTAACATTAATAAAATATTATAGTGACGAAACGCCGTTTAGTCTAGATTTATATAAAGGTCAATTATAGCATCTCTGGTAAACTATTCAGGCCTTGGCAAAGTGAGAAAATATTCAACTCGACTAGTAAATATTTGAAAAATTTATCTCATAATAGATTTAAAATGATCTTATATTTATATAATGAGTGTACAGGTAAAGGCACACATCATATCCTGTATGTTCGATAATACTTTTTTTTTTGTTGCAAATCGATATTTTGTCAATAACCTAATGAAAAAATGAATAAATCATTCACTCTAGGGTCAACTTTATTAAGCCAGTTTGCGATAACGATGAATGTTTTATAAAAACTTTGAGTATGAGGTCATTAAAACTCAATTTGAAATTTCCGATGAACTTTTAAAAATAGCTTATAGACACGTGGGGCAAACGATGCATTTGGAAATATTTCCAAATAAAATTCATTATTATTTTTAGCCTTCTAAGAATAAAATCATCTTCATTGAGTTTCAAATATTTACCGTTAAAACGCCCTGACTGTATATAAACTCCTGAATAAGAAAACGGTACGACCAAGTCACAAAACGAGTTCTTGTCTCATGAATACCTGCGCCTTGTCTCTTTTTCTTATTAAATTGGCAAATAAGGATGTATTTCTGTCGATGATCTCATATCTATTTACCAATTTAGTTTTATGCGAAATGTTTCAATACAGATTGTTTAAGTGGTACTAAAATAGGTACCCGAGTAAAATTGATATTTTATTACATTGGACAGCCAGTGGGCGAACAAAAAAAAACGAAATGCATTCAGAAAATATACCTAATTAATATTCAGAAAGCCTAAAAAGTTACATTGGAAAATAAGATAGAAATCTGTTGGAAGAGAAATCACATATACAAACAAACTTACCCGCAAGTACACAATTCACAGATGCACTGTTCCTTGTTCGGTACCCTGATTTTCGCAGGTTCCGGCTTTTCTTTTATAGTTTTCACGATGTTTATGACCTTATTATCCGTGACCTTCTTTATATTTGTTATGTTTTCGACTTCGGTCTGAAAAGAAAACAACCATATAAATAACAATGACAATTCAACATTCACAACTTACAATATCCTTGATGTCGACGATATTCTCTTGAATAAAGGTCTTGTCCACACGATCCACTGAATCAAAGGTCTTCACGTCCTTCACGATTTTATCAGATTTTATATCTGTGATGAATTTAACATCAGTTTTATCGATGATATTCTTATCATCAACAATAGTTGTATGTTTACTAATTGAATCCAATGGCTTCTTGGGTCCTTTGGGTTTTGAACTATCCCAAGTATCATGTGTACTGTAATGCTCCTTGGTACTCTGATGATCTTCGAAAGTTTTCGAGTCTTTGGTCACTGATGTTTTCGTGTCAGAAGATTTCGAAACTGTTTCAAAAGTTTCAACAACAGTTTTTGAATCAGTCAATTTGTCACGTGGATATGAATCTTTAGGAACTTTGCGTCCATCAACAACAATAAAAGTTTCATTGATGTCAGTGAATTTGTTGTCGATAAAAGTTTTTGAATCTTTTATAATGGTTGTTGTGTCACTAAGCTTGATGTCAGTGAATTGATTGATGTTCTCTTGGATTTCAGTTGATAGAAAATCTGTAGTAGGACCTTTAGATTTGGGACGTCTGGATGGAGATTCACTTGGACGTTTTGTAGATGGTTTTCTACTAGGAGACTCATCAGGACGTCTACTAGGTGATTCATCAGGTCTTTTAGGTTTTCTGGAAGGTGAACCAGTTCTAGGACCATCTTTGGGTTCATGAACGAACTTGCCATTCCAACCGCTCTTACCATAAAGTCTATCGTTCGAATAAACCACATCGGTAGAATCAGTCATGTGGTCTTTGAATATTTTGCCAGACGTTCCAATAGTGTTTTGTGTGGCTGTTGAATCATACACATTGCTAACTAGTGTATTTTTGGAATCTACAGTGTGACCGTAAAAATTTCTGGAATCAGTGGTGGTCTGAGATTGTCTCACTTTGTTAGTATCTACGTGACTTTCGTCTACGTAATAAGTAGATGAGGTTGGTTCTGGAATGTTTCTGCTAGGAGAATGGTCTGATGGACCTCTTGGTGATGGCCCTTTTGAAGGAGATGGACCCCTTTCAGTTCTTCTAGTAGGAGATTGTTCGGTTGGACCTCTTGGTGTTTTCCGATCTGAAGGAGATGGACCTCTAGTAGTCTTTTTAACTGGAGTAGACGTGTCGATAGGTCCTCGTCTCGCAGGAGATTTATCAGATTTCCTTGTGGGTGACTGCTTTCTTTGAGAAGTTTCATAAGTAAACTGTCCATTCCATCCAGATTTCCCATAATTACGCTCATTTGAATAAATAATATCTTTTGAATCCATCGTACGATCCATAATCACTGTTCCACTACTACCAATAGTATTTTGCACAGCCTTTGAGTCATAGACATTCGAAACTAGAGTGTCACTGGTATCCATACGATGACCGTAGAAGTTTTTTGAATCAGTCGTAGTTTGAGATGATCGGATTTTATCAGTGTCTACTCGATTGTCATCTACATAATAAGTTGTTCTTTTGGAGTTATCTTGTTTAATGTCACTTGATGTTTTAATTTTGTCAACATAGCTGTCATCTATATTAGAAGAAGTGATTATCTCACTTGTAGATCCAGAGTATCCAGTATCTACACTATAGTTTTTTGAATCGGACGTTCTAGTTCTGCTGTCATCTACATAATAAGTAGTCCTTTTGGAATCATCCTGTTTGGAAGAAGTAATGACTTCGCTAGAAGATCCAGGAATGGCATGAGTGTCAACATCAGTAAGTGTTTTGAGCACATTGCCTTTCGAGTCGTAATAAGTGAAAGTTGTGGTTACAGTTTCAGTCTCGCCTAAGTTCTGTGAAGTTTCGATGTTTTGGCTTGAGCTTTGCGTTGAAGATTGTTTTCGATCTGTCGATTTACTAGTTTTATCAGTCAACACCTTAGAATTAGTATCAACTTTTTCGCTGTTGATAAAAGCTTTGGTTTTGTCTTTTAAAGAATGCTTGGTAGTATCATGATTTAACGATAAAGTTGGCACATTTTCATGAGTTTTGCTTTGAGTCGAAGTTACATTATCGCCTACTTGATGCACTTCTCTGTGAGCTTCAGATGTGAAACCTTTAGGTTGTTTGAGTTCAGGAATAGCTGTGTCGTAACTAGTGGCACTATCTTTTGCTGTTTGTTTGAAATGCACTTCTGGGGTGATGTTAGTGCCTGTTTTTGATGATAGATATTCGTCGTTGGATGAAGATTGAGCTTTAGCTGACTCGTGGTGTTTTTGGTCGATAATTTTTTCTTTTCCGTCAACAATTTCGATAACATAGCTGCTAGAAGAGCTTTTGGCTAAAGAAGAACTTTCTTGGTGACTTGTAGAAGTGGAGCTCTGCTCAACAGTTGTTAGTTTCTTTTTACCTTTTGGTGTTTGTGGTTCTTCTACAATAAATTTTCCATTCCAGCCGGAATCATTTTTGTTATATGTGAGTTTCAGTTCTTCTCTAGGTTCTGTAACTGTGTAGGTGGAGCCAGATGCTGTTGATAAATTTGATGTTGATTCATTCAAAGTTGAACTTATTTGTTGAATTGATGTTGCATTGTGAGATGTTGAAGCTGTCGAGTCTTGGGTAACAAAATGTCTATATTCTGTTGAAGTGGCACCACTATCGCCGTAAACGGTGATTTTTTCACCGCTTCCTGTAGGTAACATTTCAGTCACTGTGTAAGTTACAACATTTCCACTAACAGGTAAATGTGAAACATCGGAAATTTTTAAGCTAGAAGCTGAGGACGATTTTGAAACTACACCACTTGTTCCTGACTTACTTGTACTGGAAGACACAATTTTTTTCGTGGAAGACTTTTGCTGGTGCTGAGTAGTGCTAGAGCTTGAAGCTTGCTGGCTAGTGCTGGTACTAGTTGAAGCTTGATTTTTCTTTTTACTAGTTTTCGTGTTTTTGTTCACGGTCATTTTTGAAGGCACTTAAGTTCGACACTACAAAGAAAACAAAACAAAACGTTAAACTAAAAATGTTCGATTCAAAAATTAAGAATATAAAAAGCTCGTCTTTAAAACTATAAATATAAAAAGCTCGATTTGTGTGATGCTGCGCTCGCGACCGCGTTCGTTTGAAAAGTAAAGTTGAGCGCGCTAAAGAATCTCGCTAAAACTGATGGTGAACAACAACAGGTTACCGGTGGTGACCCGTGGGTATTGCATTTGTGGTATACGTCACTCCTTTTCAAGCTCCCACGTTCGGTTTTAAGTCTTTTACTTATATGGACAGTCTGCGAGGTTGGCTTTTTTAATTATTCGTCACTTTCTACTCTGAATAATGCTATTTTTGTTTTTGGAGCGCCTTATGTCGCTTTTTTGGACGTTTATTCAGTTTTAGATTAATGGGATTCTATTTATAATCGACTCATTCATGTTTGTTTTTATGAAATCTAGTGATTTATCAATTTAGCAAAAAATTGGGAAGTTTCTGGAATTACCAAGGAGTTACCTTTACAGGGTGTTACAAATTCGCGAGATAGAATTCTAGAACGTACTGCGTTATTCAGAAAAAGACACTATTGCGTTTTTCTGGACTTTACACCATTTTCCTGAGTGCCGTTTTTCATAGAATCCTTTATCCAAGGCTCCAAATCTCAGAATAATTAAGTGTGTGGAGTTTGGGGGTCCCAATAAAGGACCATTAAGACACAAAATCTCAACATAATGTTTTTTTGAAATTTCATCGTTTTAGTACTGGGTTAGCTACTTTATGATTTAGATTTTGGAAAACTTTGAAAAGTCATAACTGTTTTGCTATTATAGATAGAAAGCTGAAATATTCAGCGATTCTTATTCCAGTAGAGGACTACAATCCCTGAAAATTTCAGCTCATTTGGACTTATAGTTCCACAAATAGAACCGTGTGAAGTAATTTGGGGTGACTTATAAACTTATAAATTTTTCAATTTTTCTGAGTGCTTTTTTTCATAGATTCCGGCTCTAAATCTTAGAATAATTTAGTGTATGGAGTTTGGGTTAGGTCAGGTTGAGTTTTTATTTCTATTCTGATGATTTTCGATAGGGATCCATGATCCACATTCATCTTTTGACACGTGATTACCTAATACTTTCTCTATCAACTTATGGCCTTTATGAGTTGAAAATATGAACAAATTTGCATCAAATTGTTTTAAGATAGGGTTCCACATTAATCTTTTGACAGGTGATTAATACTTTCTCTATCAATATTGTGTCCATTTTTTTTCCAAAATCGGTACTACGGTTCTAGAATACCTACTTATGGCCCTTATGTGAAAAAAATTGTTTCAAATTGAGTTTTTATTTATTTTTTTTTCCTGATGATTTTCGATAGGGTTTGACTAGAGCGGGTCGGACGATCGTGTACATCAGAACCCCTGAACAACCTCGACATCAAGTACCCGGGAGCTTGGTTTATGTTTATTATGAAAAGTAAAGTCGAAAAATGATATACCTATATAATTTTCAGATAAATTGAGCCATTTGGTTTCATTGAATTTAACTGTAATATGATCAAATTTTCTTAGACTGTAAGTGAATCGGACGCAACTATTCTGAATCTTCTGCAATGTGTATTTATCTCTACTAAGTAAAGCAGGCCAATAGATGACATCACAGTATGACAAATTCGAAAGGATCAGGGATTGGCACAACTTCAGCTTCACAGACGTTTCCAAAGCATCTCGATTAAGGGCTTTTATTGTAGCGTAACATTTTTGTAACAGTTCACCGGTATACTTCTCAAATCCTAAATCTTCATCCACCAACAGTCCCAAATTCCTGCAACAATTATTTTTAATGAACACCTCGCTATTCAACTTTATTTCAAATCTAGGATTGCCCTCAACAGCATCCTTTTTTTGCTTTACCAAACAACATCATCTCAGTTTTTGATTCATTAAGTTTCAAGTTATGTGCCAATCCAATGAATAAGAAATACAATTATTGTGTGTCGTCTGCGTATTGGTGAATTTTAGAGTGAATTAGAAATGAGGACGTTAATACAGAGAATAATAGCGGACCCAGTATACTACGCTGTGAGACACCCTGAGTTACTAATTTGCCCACACTTGCCCATTTACCAAAATTCTCTGCTGCCTACCTGACAAATAGTTTCCAAAAAATAATAACGCAGCGTCACTTAATCCAAAGTACTTTAGTTTTTTACGTAAAATAGCATGATTCAAAGTGTCAAATGCCTTGCTATAATCCAAAAGGACTAGACAAGTCGCCTTATTATCATCAATAGCCCGATAAATGTCATCTCTAACATTCAAAAGTACAGTGTGGTAGTACTTTGCTGGGGCCGGAAGCCTAATTGTAAATCTGATAAGATAACACACCAAAAGAACTAAAGTATTCATTAATCTGTTTGTATACAATTTTTTCCAAAATTTTAGAGATACAAGCAGGATACTAACTGGCGTGAAATGGGACAAATCTGAAGGCGGGTTTTTTTTTGGAATAGGGATGATATTTGAATTTTTCCACGCTTTAGGGAAGGTGCTGTCATTAAGACACTTGTTAATTACGAATGTAAGATTTTCTAGGAGGAATAGCAAAACAAGTATCTATCACCATATGTAGATCAATATCATCAGTACCCTTGGCTTTAGATTTAGGGGAACAGGGAAAGTACAGCGTTCTCCACATCTTCAGTAGATATTTCAGCAAATGTAAACTCTGTAGAAAGAGTCGGCAATCTTCCCTGATATTTATTCAGTACATTCGTAGAGTCGTTAGGGTTTTGAACGAATTGTGGAATACTATTAATAAAATAATCATTTAACGCAGTTGCGTCCGAGAAACTATAGAGTCTATTATACCCCTTTTATCGGATTTAATATTTAATAAATAATAATTTCAAGGTAAGTATTCCAAAAATAATCTAGGACTGGATCTTGATTCTATAAAAGATTTTTTTTTTCCAATTTCACTGTGGCGTCAACTAAATTTCTGAGCTCCTTAGTGATAGTGATTCCAGTTATTTTCAGATTTTTTTTTATTATTTCACAAATGCCACATCTCTAAGCCTCATCATTAGTTTCAAGCTCTCAGTGAGCCAAGGAGATCAATATCAAATTTACTATAGTCTCTGTATTTATGAAAAATAGGATTAGGTATTATTAGGTTTTTTTAAATTTAGGATGCAGTCGACCAGGTAGGTTATGATCAGATATATCATCCATTTTAATGACATTAACACAATTAACCCGTGTGAGGTTTGCTAGTCCTCCATCGGGCGCCTCCCCAGGTGGCGGATAGCGGAATGCCTCTCAGATATGAGTGGTACCGGGGAAATTAAATACCCGGGGCGGACCAAAACTAGCACTGCAGCGTCTGCCTCAGAGTGAGCGGCTGAAAACAGCGTCTGTCCCAGAATGGGCGGCTGAATCAAAACTCACCAACCGGCCTGGCAAGCGTGGTGTTTTACTTGCCATTACCCCCCTTTACATACCATGGCGAATTTTAAAACAAATGGAACTGGTCCCAGGTGGGTGGGAAATTTCCCGACTCCCACACCTCCATGGTCTGCCTCACGAAATCTGGGGGAGGCAAAAATTCGCTCCAAACAAAGATCAAAACCCCACGAAAACGGCTAACACAACAAAAATCAAAGAAACTGATCAACCTAACAATAGGAAAGTACAATATAAGATCAATGAATACTGACGAAAAGATACATGAACTGGAGGAAGAGCTGACAAGAATAAAGTGCGACATAGTAGGCTTGTCAGAAACTCGAAAAAAAAAACTGAAAATCGAATAAAATTGAACTCCGGTAACCTGCTATACTACAAAGGTAATGAAAACAACACTTAAAATTATTCAAGTGTACGCCCCCACTTCAACATACGACAACGAGAGCATCGAAATATTCTATGAAGATATCTCAAAGGCTACGGAAGAACATAAAACTCGCCTAACTTTAGTAATTGGAGATTTCAATGCCAAACTTGGTAAGAAGCTGACTTTGCGTACGGTGAGAGGAACGATAGGGGAACTACCTTGATGAACTATCTAGAAGAAAAACATCTATATGCGATGAACTCGTTCTATAAGAAGAAACCGCAAAGAAAGTGGACATGGCTCAGCCCTAACGGAACAACGAGAAATGAAATTGACTACATACTGACCACTGAAAAATATATTATTAAAGATATAACAGTCCTGAACAGATTCACCGGAGGCAGCAATCACAAAATGGTCAGAGCAAAAATATGTATCGATGACAACTTTGAAATAAAACTAATGGAAACAAGGGACAACTAGACATGACCAAACTTGCACAAAATAAAACCATATACAAAGAGAGACTGAAGGAACAACTGATCCAGAACTTGAACAACGATAATGAAAATATAGATAAAATATATGATACATTAGTGGAAACCATGGTTAGGGTAGGAAACGAAATCGCACAAAAAGATAAAAAAAAGGTAGAGTGCATAACAAAAGAGACAAAGAAACTCATGGAAAGAAGGCGAAAACTGAACGAAGAAGGGAAAAGGAAATCGATAGAATACACAGAAATCAATAATACCATCAGGAAAATGATAAAAGAAAACAAAAGAAAGAACCAAGAAATAGAAATAGAAAGATTCATAGAGAATAACAGGAATATGAAATGCCTAAGACCAACACTAGGAAGATACGAAATAAATAAAATAAAAGACAAGAACGGCGTAGAAACTAATATTAAGGAGGATATCATAAATATCACACAACTGTTTTATACAGAACTATATCAAACAAAAAGGGAACCACCGCAAGAAACCGTAAAACAACTGCAAACTAAAATAAAGAATGTAAACTCAGAACTACAACCCGAAATAAGCAAATTGGAAATAAAGAGGGCTCTGAAAGAAATGAAAAACAGCAAAGCACCTAGAAAAGACGGAGTCACGACAGAAATGCTAAAATACGGTGGAAAAACGGTCATCAATACTCTCCATACCCTCCTAAATAAAATACTGAAAGAAAAGAAAATCCCAAACAACTGGAATGAATCCATTACAATCATCCTTCATAAGAGAGGTGATAGAACAGACTTGAAAAACTATCGACCTATAATACTCCTTAATGTA